TTTAAAAAAATAATCCTCACCCAAGGATACTTTTCCATTTATCTTCAGATAGAATGGGAGGAAAGGAGGGAGGGAGAGAGAGAGAAACATTGATGTGAGAGACACACATCAATTGGTACCCTCCCGCATGACCCCGACCAGGGCCCACCCAAGCTATTTCCAGTGGTTTTACCATAGAACTGGCCTGTCTTGGCTCCTGCTTCAAACAAGCAGTATCTGGCCTCAGTGACCCCATACCTCTCACTAAGGGGCCCCAGGCCTGGCACTAGAAGCAGCCAGCCTTGGTTCACAGCGTGGCTTTGCTTGGGCACCTCCAAGCCCAGCACAAGAAGCAGCCATCTGCAGATCACTTTGTTGCTTATGCCTGGTGGCCCAGGGCAGAACACAGGCAGTGGCTGACCTTGCCCCACAGCCAGCACACCCAATGGACAGCTTCAGACAACCTCAAAAAACCACCACCCAACCACCTCCACAAGCAACACTCAAGGAGTGGACTCAGTGGGTACCAGAGCCCTGCTGAAGTAAGTCTTGCTCTATATGGTGGGACCCTGCACAGCTGATCCTCCAAGGTCATCAGAGGTCAGTGGTCACTGGGAAAAGCCAGTCCTTACAGCTGATCAGCCTGAGTAAATCCTTCCCATTGACGTGCCAACAGTAATCAAGACTCAATTACAACAGAAGGGTGTACAGTCCACACAAGGGGTGCACCTTGAGGGCCCAGCTGGGGTGACCAGGGAGGCTGTGTCACTGGACCCTACCTGGACCCTACAAGACACCCACTATAATAGGTCATCCTAGGAAGCCTAAGAGACATAGCAACTCTACCTAATACATAGAAACAAACACAGGGAAGCAACCAAAATGAGACAAACATGTCCCAAATGAAAGAACAAAACAAAACTCCAGGAAAAGAACTAAATGAAAGGAGATAAGCAATCTAACAGATGCAGAGTTCAAAACACTGGTTATAAGGATGCTCAAGGAACTTAGGAGAATTTCATGAAAACTTCAAGGAACTTAGTGAGGACCTCAAGAGCATTAAAAAGGTCCAGTCAAAAATGAAGGATGTACTAACTGAAATAAAAATTAATTCACAGGGAATCAATAGTAGAGTAGGTGAAGCCAAGAAGCAAACCATCAATTTGGAATATAAGGAAGCAAAACACACCCAATCAGAACAGCAAAAAGAATAAAAGAATCCAAAAAAATTAGGATAATATAAGGAGCCTCTGGGACAATTTCAAGCGCACCAACATTCGCATCATGGGGGTGCCAGAAGGAGAAGAGCGCAAGCAAGAAATTGAAAACCTATTTGAAAAAATAATAACAGAAGACTTCCCTAACTTGGTGAAGGAAACACACATATAAGTCCAGGAAGCCAGAGAGTCCCAAACAAGATGAACTCAAAGAGGTCCACACCAAGACACATCATCATCAAAATGCAAAAGGATAAAGACATAGAAAATCTTAAAAGCAGCAAGAGAAAAGCAATTAGTTACCTACAATGGAGCTCCCATAACACTGTCAGCCAATTTCTTAAAAGAAACTTTGCAAGCCAGAAGGGAGTGGCAAGAAATATTTAAAATGATGAAAAGCAAGGACCTGTAACCAAGATTACTCTATCCTACAAAGCTATCATTTAGAATTGATGATCATATAGAGTTTCCCAGACAAGAAAAAGTTATAGGAGCTCATCAACACCAAACCAGTATTATATGAAACGTTGAAGGGTCTTCTAGAAGAACAAAAATATTAATAAAATGGCAATAAATATATATGTCAACAATTGAATCTACAAACAAATTGAGCAAGCAGAAGAGAAACAGGCTCACAGATACAGAGACATTTTTGTTGGTTGTCAGATGGGAGGAGGTTGAGGGGATGGGCAAAAAAGGTGAAGGGATTAAGAAATACAAATTGATTGTTAGACTGATGAACCTCAAAGGAAAAGGGAGAGGGAGGACAGGAATAAATAAACCAAAGAATTTATATGCATATATACATAACCAATGGACACTGACAATAGTGCAGGGAAAGCAGGAGGGGGGCGGGAGTGGGGAGGAGGGGGTCAATGGGGGAAAAGGGAGGTACAGCTGTAATACTTTCAACAATAAAGATAAGTTTAAAAATAAATAAAAGCCCTGACCAGTGTGGCTCAGCGGTAGAGCATCGGCCCACGAACCAATGAGTCCCGGGTTCAATTCCAGACAAGGGCACGTACCTTGGTTGCAGTTCGTCCCTGGCCCTGGTCGTGGTCACGTGGGAGGCAACCAGTCAATGTGTCTCACGTCGATGTTTCTCTCTCTCTCTCTCTCTGTCTCTCCCTCTCTCTCTACCTGAAAATAAATAGGAAAATATCCTCAGGTGAAGATAAAAATAACAACAAATAACAAAAATAAATAAACAGTCCATGTGATTCAGACTTCATACAGAGAAAGACATTGAAGGGTAAATAATTTGACTATTTAAAAAATTTAGATGATACTCTAGCAACATCATTTCCTACAGGATATTAAACAGATTAAATCTCACCTAAAGTGTTAAAAACAAAATAAGCAAAATGACCTCCCTACTTGATCATCTAGGTCTTCTGAATTGTACCTAGTCATCACAGCTTTAGTTTTCAAACCTATGTTCCTTTTCAACAGTTCTTAAATACAATGCCAGAAGCCTTCAATGTAGATCTAAGCATGCGCACACACGTAAGTAGACTGAAGATTTTAAATTAAAGGGTCAAATGTATGTTATCAATTTATTGTTGATATTTGAGCTTCATTTAAGACCAAATTTCTTACTCTTCAAACACTAAGTTGGCATGAAGTACGTAAGAGCAGTTAAAAGAATTCTCACTCAGGAAATCCTTAGATTTGGTTTCCTAAAGACAGGCCTTGCAATTTTCTTGTGTATATTTTCTGATAGGTCTAAGAAAAAGAAAAATCCCAACCCCTGCACATCAAGGTACTCATGCCCTGGTCAGTGTGGCTCAGTGGTCAGAATGTCGGCCTGAGCACTAAAGGGTCTCGAATTCAATTCCTGGTCAAGGGCATGTATCTGGGTTGCAGGTTCGATCCCCAGCCTTGGTTGGGGCACATGAGTGTGTCTCTCAATGTGTCTCTCTCACATGGATATTTCTCTCTCTTTTCCCTCCTCCTTCCTTCCTCTCCACTCTCTAAAAATCAGTGAAAAAAATATCCTCGGGTAATGAATAACAACAAAAAAAGTACTCATTTAACAAAAAGATCAAATTAATATTGTGGCAGAGCTTGACTTCAGAATTTCCTGAACTAATTGCTGAAAATATCAACCTTTATTTCACATTAGTATTTCCAGTATTTGTAATATTAAAATGTTAATTATCAAAACATAAAAAATATCAAACTTGAAATCTTTATAATCTTTTTTATGAATAAAATTCTTATTCCTGAGAGTCAGGGCCCTTTTTTTAAAAAACCCATTCCAGGAAGGGCAAAGCAGCTCACTAGTTTTCTTTCCACTAACCTTGAAAAAAACCATTCACTAGGCAAAAGCTCAACTTGATGCTAAAAGCAAAAGGCACTGTTCTCAGGAGTCCACCCTGGACTTGGAAACTACACTGTATTTTATTATCCTTGTGATGGGTTTCTGCAATTTGCAACACGAAAACTTTCCATTGGTCAATGCACACATAGTTAAAATACTAATTCTTTGATTTCGAGGAAAGTTATTCAGTCCTTCCCAGGCCTTCTCTCTACTGGGTGGCAGGAACGGAGTGTAGAAGTGAGATAGGACAGGAATTCTGTTCTGCCAGAGAGAAGTGAGAAACCATTTGGATTCCCCCTACCCAATTAGACATTTTCCATCTGCACTTAACACAAATGGGAATGCTTAGAGATACAAATATGCTTTGCCAGGTCCTCCCCACTTCCTCCACTTACCTCTGATGTAGCATTTTCAATCTCTTAATAGGTCACAGAATTTGAGCAAAAGGGGAAAAAATGAACCTACAAATACCCCAGGTACTGTGGGCAGTTGGCATATTAGTCTAAGGTTAGATAATATGCTAAATACAGAACTTAAATCAATCCTTGAGTTTCTAGTTCACTTTAGTTGGGTATCTTCTCAGATGGTTCTAAAGTCAGTACAGTTAATAAATGCACTCAGTTGTTCAGTGGGTGAAGAAAAAAACTGACTTTTAGTCCATCCATAAGGACACTTTATGCAGTGCCCAGTATTTCCTTCCTCTGTAACATACAGAGACAGGTCACACTATATTCCCAGCAACAGAGAAGAGACTACGTAAGACACCAGAGGCACACCTCAGGAGGTCCTGGGACTCTGGCCAGGAAGGGAGCAATGAGGTGCGAGCACACAAGTTCCTGAAGGAAAAAAAAAAAATCTAAGTATAGCCCTGGCTGGTTTGGCTCAGGGGTTGGAGCGTCAACCTGCGGACCAGAGAGTCCCGGTTCGGTTCCCGCTAAGAGCAGGTACCAAAAAAAAAAACAAAACAAAAAACCATGAGTCTACTCCCCAGCCCCCATCCTCAAAGGCAAGTATGAAAGGAATTGTCACTTTAATACATTTTCTTCCTTCTTTAGTCGCTTTATTAAAAATAATGTGCCTAAAAGTCTACAGATGAGCTGAAATATCCTTGAAAAGAGGCACCTTACACACCAGTCTGCCTACCATTCCTACTACTGCGAAAACCACAATGTATCTTCTAGGAAACAAAACGGTCTCTGCTTGGGGGGAAATCTCTAATATAGCTGTAGCTGTAATTTGCTTCTATTTCTTGTTTTGTTTTTTTTCCCCTCTATGTATTTGAAATCATATCAGAAATAGTTTTTTTTTTTTGGTCAAATAATAGAACACTGAACTGAACTTGGCCTAACAACCAGTATACAGTTGTCGATCCATCTTGCATTAACAAAAATGAAATATAAATAAAAATAAGAAACTGAAACTAAAGAGAAAAACAAAGACAAAATTCAAATTTAATTTGAAAAATCTGATTTTATTTTCTGAATCATAAAGGAGTGTTTTCATGTTAAATTCAGAATGTTTAACTTTCCACTGATCTCTCAAAATACTTTACTGATATTGTTAACAGTGCTCAGAACTGTGTAAAAGTTAACATCCAATACCACATTTTAAAGAAAAAAGTTTAACCATAGGACCTATTTCTAAGAAACCTTCTCAAAGGTCAAGGTATTGACAACTCTAATTTTAAAAGAAAAGAATTTTAATCATTTTTGGAAATTTAAATGACAATGGTTTAAGAGCTAAAAATCAGATCTCTTTTAAAACAGAATAAATTTTAATTAGAGAAACTCATACTAGACAACTCCAATTAAACACAATACTTCCCTATCCCCAAAATTACTAAATACATTATTTCACCTTGGCATAGGAAAATTATAAAATGGAATTTAAAAATTATATAATATATATTAATACACAATTTTAATGTCATGTTTGCAAGCGGAATATGAAATTAGAACCAAATTCTACGTTCAAAGGACAGATGACAAATGCTCTTTCACTGTTTTATTTAAGAGCCCAGCCCACTCTTGGTTGTCTTCTACCCCCATATTATAAAGTCATGACCGATGGCCAAGAGTCGATCCATTTACCTGAAATAAACAGTAGTAGGTAATGGTCCTACATTTGTGTCCTTTACAAAATCCAGTACTCAAAAGGCTGGGGGGATTTATAAGAACATGATTTAGGAACACTTTAGAATCCCAAAGTACTCTGACATCCAGGTCCCTAAAATCTAGATGTTATTCATAGGCTATTCACATGTACTAAGCATGTCCAGCATGCAGGCAAAGTTCTTTTATGTATTCAAATTGAGGTAAAACAGAGAAAAAAATACTTATTAACAGAAGCTATGTAATGAAAAATAACCTCCTTTTGCTGCTTATTTCATATAAATTGATTTTTAAGTTTTCTCACAAAAGAGACTTAAAGCCAATCATTTCTCCAATTTCAGTTACCCAGAAAAATAAGCTTCTCCTTTCAAAGCAAAGCTTTCTTCTTTCATTATTAGTAAAGACTTTGAAATAAAAAAACAACAACCAAACAACAAAAAAACATTTTTGTTTCAGAATCTGCATTTTATACTTAACATGATACAATTTCTTATTACTTTATTTTTCAAATTTAGAAAGAATTCAGGCCTGAGTATTTTTTCAGATACCAAGCTATTCTGACAGAATTCATAAATACAATTTTCTGAAATAGGCAGGAAAGTCTGCTAACATTTACAAATTACCAATATCTCTTCTTTCAAGCTTAAGATGGCTGCAAATTAGTCATTATGATTAATTTTTCAATACAGATACAAATTTTAATCTTGATATTTTTGGCCAACATTTTAAATAGTCAATTACTACCCAGGTTTCAAATCAAAACAAACAAAAACTAATGAAAATGACCCAACTGGCAACAAGTCCCATGTTTCAATGTTATTTTTAACCTAACAATTATAACCTACTGCCAGTAATTATTTATGTTTCAGATCTAAAAGAATAATTGCAAGAATGGTACTTCACACTGGTTACCTTAATGCTTCCAGTATAAACAGAAGCGCTTAGAAAGTACCAGATCTTAAGCACTTTTTAAAATCTGAATTTGAATGTCCAATAGCATTTTTTAAATGTTACTTTTCCACTGATAGATTTTAGGGAGTCTAGTCACAAATAACATGGTTGATTTTAAAAAACCAAATCCCTAGCCACATGGTAATGGGATACTATACTTGTTTTTTTATAAAACAGTTCCAGGCAGACAAAAAGTAGAAGAAAATCTGTCAAATCAAAGTACTCTAAATAAAGTTCATCTTTTGTGTATCCCAGAGCAGAAAAGCTCAAAAATAAAAATATCAAAATTAAGAGACCACCTCCCCTCACCCCTACACAAAAACCCACCCAAAACACTTTAGTTCTGAGTCTAATGTTTCCCTAAAACGTTAATACCAGAGCTTTAAGGTACTTAAATCTGTACCACTAACTGTTGAAAGCGCCACACTATAGAGGAAATGCCCTAAAGGGTTCAGCAGCTGCCCACCCATCCCTACCACCCCCACCCCAATAACATGTAAGAGCTCCCGTAAAGTTGTTTTCTTATGCTAATAAAGGCATACCACCTAGTGTGCTAAAACTAGCAGCATTAGAGCAGTCAAGTGAAAATAGGAAGCCTACAGGAATGATCTAAATGCCTACTTAGAAGAAACAAAGCAGCAAACAGGACCTTTTGCCCTCTCCTTGTGTTTGTAAGGAAGTGTTTGAATTAAAGTCAGATTTATCCACATTAACAAAAATTTAACAAAGCTTCCCAAGACCCCAGAATAAAACCTGACCTTTTCAGTCAAAGGGCAAAGAGAGCCCTCTTCCATGTCCTGAAGTTTAATGAGTTCAAAGATAGGCAATAAAGGAAAAAAGAAAAGCATTAGGGGTGTGATGGGAACACATTGGAGTTTATCGAACAGTCACACCAAGTTTCTCCAGCACACGGACACCCTTCTCCTGGTATTCCTGCCGGGTCATCCAGAAGTTGTCTTTGTCTTTCATGATATCTGCTAGGACTGCACCACCCAGGAACACCATGTGCTTTCTGCGTGGCGGGTCTTCAATGCGGATCTTAAATTTCTAAAGAAAGAGAGGATAAAATGTCACATGTGCATAGCGCTTTGTGCTTTATAAAGATGACTTTTTCATATATTCTCCCACTGAATTCTCACAAAAGTCCTGTGATGTAAGTAGGACAGCAGGATTTGGTATCTGAGGTACAGAGACATTCTATAATTTGGCCAAAGCTCATAGCTAGTGTGTTCAGAACAGTCCTGATTTATACCTGTTACCACATCATTAGTAACGGCACCTATCAAGCGTCCTGATTTGAATAATTCCCATGATCACCCTACTGTGAGCCCAAATACCAGAGTTCTTTCTATTGGGGCAGCTTTTCCCATCAACTGATGGATGAACACATGGGTCAATCAGTTAGCTGTCAAATGAAGAGTTTGAATGAGAGGACTTCTATGGTTTCATCAAGGTCTAATGCTGCTATGATTGTAGTCCCATGCAATAAAGATGGAAGCTCTTTTCTTCTAATCAAAGCTCACTTTCTACTCTCTCAAGTTCAAATAAAATATTCTCAAAATAAAAAAAAAAGACCAGCCCTAGCCGGTGTTGCTCAATAGTTAGAGCGTCAGCCTGTGCACTGAAGGGTTTCAGGTTCAATTCCTGGTCAAGGGCACGTACCAGGGTTGCAAGTTCAATCCCCAACCCCCCTGGGGGGGGCATGTGGGAGGCAACCAATCAATGTCTCTCTCACATTGATGTTTCTCTCTCTCTCTCTCTCCTCTCCCTCCCTTCCTTCTACTAGCTCTAAAAAAAACAACCACCAAATACGGTCAAAATAAATCATGGGAATATTAGAAAAAAATGAACACAGTAACCAAAATGAAAGACAAGTAGGTACAGTTTTATACTCTATGGTCAGTATTAAATGTCTAACAAGGACACACCTTACTCTGTATGGTCAGGTAACACCTAAAAGAGAAACCTTAAAATGATGTCGTAGTTTTATTAAATGTCACAAATTCTGCAAAAGGACTCAAAATAACTGTCATTCTAAACTGTATGTCATAAAAATGAGCAGTAAGATCTGACAGCACATGACAGAAAAACACAAATGATCAATGTGAGGCTCTCCTAATGTTCTAACTATCTGAATTACTGTTTTTGCTCTTACGTAGGGGTTAGCAAACCATTTCTGTAAAGAGCCAGACAGCAAATACTTGAAGCTTTGCATGTGATGATAGGTAACACCATATAAAACAGCTATGTTCCCCAAAAATTGTATTTACAACAAAACAGCCATTGTGGGCACAGGGCCAGGCTGGCCACGCCCGCTCAAGGGAGGCTGGGGCTGCCTGCGGACACTGCTCCCGTGAAGCTTTCTCAGCTGCCTGCTGTTCTCTCTCACAGCACCTTCCGGACCCGAGATGAGGAACAGGAATTCTTATTCTTCATTGCCGCTTCTCTTTCCCTCTTCCCGACAGCTCCACAGCCCTAGAACTCCTTCCATGAGACTACTCCATCCCTGACTCCTTCCCAAGTCACCTACAGATGCCCAGGTGATTTCTCCTCATGCCTGCTCTTACTGTGTGTGTGCCCTCTCCATCATTTCCTGACATTATCCTTGTGACTTTGTCCTCTCCCTCTCACACTTGGCAAAACTTCAACTCAGGTGATCAACTCTCCACTTGCACCTGCTCTCAAGCAATGGAACACTACAGAAGAGAAACTCAGCATCTCACTTCGAATGTATCACTTACCTCAACTGAGCCCCTTCGTGCTGGCTCCGCAATCTCATCATATTTCTCCTCTCTCCTCCACTCTCCAAGACATTTTGTTTCCCTCCTTCTCTATTTTAAAAAACCTCTACGACCTCCTCCCTCCTCTCGGAGCCTCCTAACCTCTCTTTCTACATTCACCTTTCTCCCTCCCTTCAAAAGCCTATTTACACCAGACTTAACGATCCTTTAAAAACAAATCAGATCCTATCATTTCTTGGTTCAAAATCCAAGACTTTCTATTTCAGTAGGAGTAAAGCCAAACTCTACCGTGGCTGAACAAAACCTGCGTCCCAGTGGTCTTTCTGATCTCACCTCCCAGCCCTCTCCATTGCTCACTCAACTCCAGCATACCTGCCCGCTCCCACCGACTTGGGGCTTTTGCACTTGCTGTTCCTGCCTAGAAGGTTCTTCCCCCAGATAGGTACTTCCTCACTCCATTTAGGTCTCTGCTCAAAAGTCTTCTCATCAGAGGCCTTCCCTGATCACACTACATGAAGGAACACACTGTCTCCCCAACTCCTACCACTTTCTAATCCCCAACCTTACTTTACTTCTCTTCATAGTATTTATTACTGCTGATGTATTATTCTTCATAAACTAAAAGCAGAGATTTGGTTTTTGTCCACCACTGTTTTGTTTATCCCAGCACCTAGACCAGTGTTTGGCTCTTAGAAGGAGTTTAACATATTCTGAATAGATAACTGACCTGAAACTGATTTTAAATTATATGTGTAACTCAATAAAATCAGACAAGGGAGTGAAGGACTTAGACAATATGGCTCCTTTTCAGTCTTTTAATTTGTTTAATGTATGTGTGTCCATACCCAATTTAATTTCACCAACTTTGAGTCACATATGAGAAATGTCTCCAATATGTACAGTCCTCTGTAATGTGTAATCTTATTATCTAATACAGTTGATCAAAGTCCCTGAGACAAACCTGAGAGATTAATTCAGAATTAAGTGATTGTTGGTTGAAAGCACAGTATATAGTGTACTTCACACAGTCCAGCTTATAGAAAAAAAAAATCAATGTCAAACAATCATTAGCTATTACCTACTAGTATAAAAATTTCTTTCAACTACCAATTAAAGTTTGTTTCAGGAGCTATGATAGTTTATGAGGATACAAAAGAATTGGAGACATGATGTTTTATGAATCTGATTAGGGTGCTAAGATATATGCAAGAAATCGCCAGAAAATAACCTAGAATCAGAAATATGAGACAGTCTAAAAGAAGCACTAAAGGCTGATGACATATCCAAAAAGTTAAAAACAACAACACCAGAACACCAAGTGGGGCATTTATCCCTCCACAGTATAGCAGGTTTTCCCCATACATTTAGATACCTTGACTCTATTTGTTCCAAATAACCCAGAATGTTTGGTCCTGGACCTAGTCATCGCCATCCACTGAATACACAGGTGACCATAGTATGACCATTCTGGGATAGATTATGACCTTGAACCACTTAGTTCTTCCTATCTCTTCAAGGCTTTATTTTTTTAAAATAATTTTTATTTAAAAAAATTTTTTCCTCTGTTGATTTTAGAGAGAGAGAAGGGAGAGGGAGAGAGAGATAGAAACATCAATGACAGAGAACATCGATTGGCTGCCTCCTGCATGCCCCCCACTGGGGATCGGGCACACAACCTGGGCATATGCCCTGACTGGGACTGGAACTGGCGACCTTTTGGTGCAAGGTCAACCAACGCTCAACCAGTGAGCAACACAGGCCAGGGTTCAAGGCTGTACTTGACTGCATTAGAAATTTGTTTAGAAGGACGTCTTGCGCCCTCTGGTGGCTGTCAAGATTCACAGGCTACTTGACAGGGTTTTAAAAGTATGTTAACCGTTGGATTGATATGATTGATACTTACAGAAAGTTTTTCCACATCTCCCTTTAAAACTCGTTCTAAGTAAAGCTGTTTTAGTTCTCGTTCCAACCGTGACGGCAGCCCAGGGTACATAGTAGACCCTCCAGAAAGCACAATGTGCTTATAGAATTCAGATCTGGAAAGACACAATGGATACTCATTTGGGGTTTCAGATTAGGAAAACAGTACCTCAGAGTTCCTGTTATTTATATCATCCTCAGGTGGTTGCCAGAAGAATTAAATAAAATTCAACGTATGAGTCACAGGGTTGAATGTTTACTATTACTATTGTTATTTGATAATAAACCCTCTTTTTATATAAAATGATATATATCTATAGATTATATCTATATCTATAGATAGATATATATATTTTAAATCCTCACCCGAGGACGTTCTTCCATTTTTTTGTTCAGGTAGAGTGGGAGGGAGAGAGAAAGAGAAAAAAAACATCGATGTAAAAGGGACACATTGAGTGGCTGCCACCTGCACGACCAACCAGGGCCGGGGACAAACTGCAACCGAGATACGTGTCCTTAGCGGGAACCAAACCCAGGTCTCTCTGGACCACAGGCCAACGCTCTAACTGCTGAGCCAAACTGGCCAGGGCTAAAATGTTATAATTTTATGAAAATATTTCCAAAGCGCATGACACACTTTCTTGCAAATATAACTGAGTCTCTTTTTTTAATCCTCATCCGAGGACATTTTTCCATTTTTTGTTCAGATAGAGTGGGAGGGAGAGAGAGAAACATCGATGTGAAAGGGACACATCGAGTGGCTGCCACCCACACGACCAACCAGGGCTGGGGACAAACTGCAACCAAGGTACATGCCCTTAGCGGGAATCGAACCTGGGTCTCTCTGGACCGCAGGCCGACGCTCTAACCGCTGAGCCAAACTGGTCAGAGCTAACTGAGTCTTTTAATAACGACCACAGTTCATATTACAAATTTTCAGTATTTCAACTGTTATCACAGTGCTTTCCTGAAGCCTCTGAGATGTGGCTGTTTACTCTAATAACCATATTGTATTATGTTCCCAGTTCTTGCTTTTCAATTTTTCCATTTGCCTTCTGTAGTTCCCCTTTTGTTCCTTTGCCTTGAGGCTTATCGCTGTTATTTTTGGTTAGAATGATGAACATGTTTCCCTCCTACAGCGATCTTTTCTTCTTTCCTTAAAATATGCTGTTAGATATAATATCAAATAGTCAAATCTTAAATAACTACATATGTAGTAAAAGTAATATAATCTAAGAGAGGGTCTGAGGGACTCTTCTCATAGTAAAGCTCAGGAGCTGAGTCACATCCATTTGGGCTTCATTCAAATTGACTGGGTTCTCAATGGCTCAGGCTACTACAATTCTAGCTTCAAGAAGAACAGTGTTTTTGTTTTTAATTGCAGAAGCCAAAGAGTGTGGCACAAGCCAAGCAGTTGACATATGACTACATGTGATAAGCACCTATGAGCATTTACACACAGGCTTTCAATATGTAGAACACACAAACAAACAAAATTTTCAGTTGTCCTACTTTCCCATGCTGGGTCTGTGAAGAGGGCACTGAACTTTACTTCAGGGTTTTAGGAATGCCTAAGCTTTAATTACCACCAACAGGAATGTACTTTTAAATACAATTTTGCTATTAATTATCATTAAACCAAAGGACAAAAGCATCTATCTAATTACTATTATGAGAACTTACCATAATTATAAAGTCTAGATTATATTTTTTATCATCTCCCATTAGATTTATAGATTTATATTATGTACCAATTGCTATTTTATTCATTTCCATTATTATCCTACTCCTTAACCATCCCACAAAAATTAGGTGAGTATTTAATTCAGGGTTCAACAAACAAGTAAGCAAACACTTGCTTTACAAAATGCTTGCGTGAATTCCTCAAATAACCTGGGTGCAGAAGAGGGCTTTCTAACTATGGCTGAAACTCCAGATGCAATAAAAGAAAGATGATATATTATTTTTGTTTTTAATTTATTGATTGATTTTAAGAGAGGGGTAAAAAGAGAGAAACATCTAATTGTTGTTCCACTTAGGTATGCATTCATTGGTTGATTCTTATGTGTGCCCTGACTGGGGATCAAACCCAAAACTTTGGTGTATCGGGATGATGCTCTAACATCTACCCAGCCAGGGCTGATTATATATATATTTTATATAACTAAATAAAAACAAATTTTTGTATGGCTAAAAACACCATAAGCAAAAGACAAATGGTAAATTATGAGAATATATCTGCAACAGATAACACAGAGCTAATATAAAAAGAACTTTTAAAAACTGAGAGCCCTGGTCGGTTTGGCTCAGCAGTTGGAGCGTCAGCCTGCGGTCCAGAGACCCAGGTTCGGTTCCCGCTAAGGGTACATACCTCGGTTGCAGTTTGTCCCTGGCCCTGGCTGAGTAGTGCAGGAGGCAGCCACTCAATGTGTCGCTTTCACGTCGATGTTTCTCTCTCTCTCTTCCTCTCTCTCCCTCCCACTCTATCTGAACAAAAAATGGAAAAATGTCCTCGGGTGAGGATAAAAAATAAAGATAAAAATTGAGAGAAATGATTACAAAAATTCTATAGAAGAACAGGCAAAAGCCATGAATAGATAATTCACCAGAAAAAGATATAAAGCCCTGACCGATGTAACTCAGTGGTTAGGGGATCAGCCCTGGCCCCAAAGTGTCAGGGGTTCGATTCACGGTTGATAGCATGTACCTGGATTTCGTATTTGATTCTGGCGCATGCGGGAGGCAATTGATCAAATGTCTCTCTTACATCGATGTTCCTTTCTCTCTCTCCTCCTCTCCCTCTCTCTTCCTCTCCCTCTCTCCCCCTCTCCCTTCCACTCTCTCTAAAATATCAATGAAAAAATATCCTTGGGTGAGGATTAACAACAACAACAAAAAGGTAAAAAATGGATCTAAATACAGAAAAATGATGTTCAACTTCACTCTTAAGAGAGATGCAAATTAAAACTACACTGAGGTATTATTTCTCACTCATCAGATCAGCATAAAAGTAAAAAGGTTGACAAACTGTGAACAAGCTGCAGGAACACAGGTGCCCTAGTGTTCTCACCTATTACTGGTGAGAATGAGCAATAATAAACCACACCCATTTACCCTTCGAACCAAAAATGCCCCCGCTAACTACAGAAATGTAGCGTGCACAAGGTTATTATTGCAGCATTATTTGTCAACTCAAATACTAGAATCTACCTAAACAACTAAGATTCACTGAATAAACCATGGTATGTATAAACTGAAAAAAACGAATGCAACTGAAAAAAAGAATGAGGACAATCTTTAAGAAATGGTATAAGATTGTTTACGATCTACTAAGCAAAAAAGGCAAAGTGCAACAGTATTTACATTATACTACCTTTGTTTTAAGAGAAAATAAAAAGCACACAAAGGATAAACTTGAAACTGATGAGACTGTTTAGTTATAAGGGGGAGGAGAGGACTAGGGTGGAAGACAGGGGGTGGAGAGAGTACTACTTCTACATACACATTTTAATGTAATTTTGACTATACTGTTAATGTTCTATCTATTCAAAAAACAAAATTAAAAATGAACCAGGAATATTTTGTGCCTCAAAATAGAATGTCCTCAAAAAAGATGGAGGCACATCAAAGGACACAGGAGCCTGCTTGGAGGGGCTCTCACTGGCCAAATCAGGAACAACTGGAGTAGCAAAATAGACAAAGACAGCAATAAATTATAATCCACTGGGGGGAAAAATCATGATTCTATACTGATAACAAACAAAAAAGGAGAAGGAAAAGCACTGCCTTTTGCGAGAATGCCAACTAATAAATATAGAAGGAATGATAGAATTAGAAAATCACCTTCTTCCAATAGTCACAATAAAAATAGATTCAGGCAAGAATCATCAATATATGCCAAAAGGGGAGGAGGGCAGAGTTTGGTGAGGAACAGGAGATTTACAAAATCTTAAAGTATTTTCCCACAAATTACTTATGAATTAGGAAAGAAAAAAATAGGGCAACTATACAGTGGAGGAAAGAGAAAACTTCATTAACAGCTTAACACTAACATCACCAATAAGGAGCACGCATCAATTCTGGATGTGATCCCTGAGAAGGACACATCACATACATATGCAGTATCTTTGCCCAAAATGTATAACCTGAATCTCATCATGATAAATCATTCAAACCCAAATTGAGAAAAATTCTCTAAAATAACTGGCCTGTATTTTGTAAAGATGTCAATGTCGTGCAAGACTGAGACTGGTAACAGATAGGTAAGAGATGTGTCAACGAAATACAATGTGTGATCCTAGATTTGATCCTTTACTGGAGAAAAGAAAAAATGTATAAAGGACATTATTAGGACAGTGGATGAAACTGAAATATGGATGGTAGGTAAAAGTATTTATCAGTAATCAATATCCTGTACTTGATAACTACACTGCGGCTATAGAAGGGAATATTTTCGTTTTAGAAAATAAGGGGCATAGAGGACTTACACATTCATCCTACTTTCAACTAACTCAAGGAAAAAAATAGAAGGGGCCATAAAGCACACATGCAGAACATTAGTGAGATGGGACACTGGATAAAGAGTACGCACGAGTTCTCTTATCCTAGCAACTTTTCTTTAAGCTTTAAATTATTTCACAATAAAAAGTTTAAAATGGCTTCTGAGACACAATGATAAAATGTGGTAAACATCGAGTGCCACCCTACCAAAAATTATTTTGCCTTATCTATTAAAAACCATGAGTGAGATAATAGGCAACTTGGTCATTCCAACTATTTATATTTCATCTATTTCTGATAAATTACTTTGACACCACCATTTCTACGTACCTGGTATCGATGTCAGCTGCCTGGATTGTGTTAAAAAGCAATTCAGCAACACCCACTCCCTCAACATTGATCAAGTGAGGCTGAAATAAAGCTTCTGGTGCTTCAAATCTCTCTCCCCCAACTTTGATAATACGGCCATCTGGGAGCTAGAAACAAAAATTAATCAAGTATTAGTCAGCAAAAGATTAAAAAATTTTCCACTGTTCTCTGGAACAGTACTTTTAAACACATCTGTTCTATAACCAAAAACATTATCAGCAACATATTTCTCCCAAAATACCATTTTGAAAAAGGTAAAATACATTTAGATAATTGTTTTTATTACCATACTCTGTTCTGCTTTTAAAAAATGGTATGCTTTGCCTGGCCGGCGTGGCTCAGGGGTTGAGCGTCGACCCATGCACCAAGAGGTCGCCAGTTCAATTCCTGGTCAGGGCACATGCCCAGGTTGTGGGCCAAATCCCCAGTAGGGGGCATGCAGGAGGCGGCCAATCAATGTTCTCTGTTATCAATGTTTCTGTCTCTCTCTTCCTCTCTAAATTCAATTAAAAAAAAGAGATGCCTTGCCCAGCCGGTGAGGCTGAGTGGACTGAGCGTTGTCCCATGGACTGAGAGGTCCCAGTTTGATTCCTGGTCAGGTCACATGTCCATGGCATGCAGGAGGCAGCTGATTGATGCTTCTCTCTCACATTAATGTTTCTATCTCTCTCTCCCTTTCCCTTCCTCTCTCTCTCTAAAAAAAAATCAATGAAGAAAAACTAAAATTAAAATGGTATGCCCTGGCTGGTCTGGCTCAGCGGTTAGAGCGTCAGCCGAGAACCAAAGACTCACGGGTTCGATTCCGGCAAGGGCACATACCTCGGTTGCGGTTCGTCCCTGGCCCTGGTGGGGGTTGTGCAGGAGGCAACCAGTCAATGTGTCTCTCTGATGTCAATGTTTCTCTCCCCCGCCCCTTCCATTCTACCTGAAAACAAATGGAAAAATATCCTCGGGTGAGGATTAAAAATTAAATAAGTAAATGAAATAAAATAAAACGGTATGCCTCAGAGAAATCACCAATGCGTGAGTGCAGGATGTTCCATTGGTGTGCAGTTAAGTATAAATAGGCAGCATTAACTAACCACTGCACTTGGATTATACCAGGTGTCAATGCTGCTTCTCTTATTATTTTAATACATTTGTAATTTTATAAATATTTTTACCATGTAGCATAAACATATTCAATTAAAAATTTTTAATAATTTCTTTCACCAAATAATCACTCTGTGACACTATTATGCTGACAAAACATTTTATATCATGTGTGAAACTTCTGTCAAATCATTTAATACAAAAAATATTTTATGATCAAAAAAGGTTCAAGAACATTGATTTAGGCTAGTTTTTATTAGGTAATTCTGTTGTATCCTACTTACTAGGTCCTATTAAATTTTAAATGATAATGGATAGATATAATATTGATTTAAGCAAAGAAGATTTAAACAACAGGTCAGATATCTCTAGATGCCCTTGTACAGAAAACTCTCAAGTCACATCTTGTTTATATTTCATTAAATGAGAAATGTTAAAGAAAAACTCCCTCTTAAACCACCTCATAATTTACTGGACTGACCTAAGTAACAAGCATGCTTGTATATACTGGCATTTGATGCATTTCTTTATGAGATAAAATAATTAGTTGTACATTAACATTCCTAACAATGTTTTTAATTTATAATGATTACAATAATTATATTCAGAATTCAAAATTGACTTTGTAATACAACAAATTCACACAAAGCAAGTTCTTTAAAACATTTACTCTATGTTTACTGTAATTATTCACAGATATGGGCAAAGCAATCACATTTTTCACATACTCCAGAATTATCATTTTATAAATTGTATCAAACTTTTTAAAAAGAAAAAAAGATACCGATCCAAACATTTACCCTTAAAAAAAATAAACAAAACCATCAGGTGAGTTTTAAAACCACATGAAATCACCCAAAATACCTGGAAAAACTTCACATGGCAGAGACTGGTTTTAGCAAAATCTCTGTAGCTCACATTTCTAGCCTGTCTGATGATGTGACTTCTCTGGACACTCTGGGGCAACCTACCCTAGAAACTGTTAGGATAGTATGGTTCCCATTTCTCTGCATCAAACCTTACCCTGTACTTTATTTGTTCACCCATATCCCTCTTCACTTATCAGTTCACTATTTCTTTTCTGCTGTATACATTTTTGTAACCTACCTGAAATTCTTTGAGAAAGGAGGAAATTAATAAAACATGTCTTACAGTTTTAGTTCCCTCATCCTTTGCCCCATGCCACTTTCTTCCACACAAGTCAGGTAGATGAAGTTATAAATCTAGAGGAACTGTCAAGAAAGCTTCAGGAAAGAATCCCCAGAGCAAATCTGGAGACCATTAAGTCACAAAGTATTGAATTATTAACTATTTGGATCAATAGTTTTTAAAAATAAAACAATATGCCCAGCCAGTAGTTCAGTGGATTGAGTGTCGTCCCATGGACTGAGAGTTCCGGGTTCAACTCCTGGTCAGGGCACACGCCCGGATTTCGGGCGCGATCCCCAATGTGAGGACATGCGGGAAGCAGCTGATCAATGTTTCTCTCTCTCTCTCTCTCTCTCTCTCTCTCTCCCTAAAAATAAATAAATAAATATATATATATATAAATAAAACAATATAAAATACAAATTTATAATTATTTTGTAAATATTTGTACATATTTGTGATATACAGAGCTTACATGAATCAAATGGTTAAGAACACTTGCTTTTACTGCCTATTATTCAATTTCATTGTAGTAATAACTAGATCACAGGTGAGATCCGGAAGTACTTGATACCCAGATGAATATGATAGACTTAAGATAGCAATACATTAAAAATTCAGATAGAAGCAAATTCCCTGGTATAAGCTACAACAATGTTCTAAGTCTGATTAATTACAATGTCAAGTTCACATTTGTTTTTAACATTCCAAAAACATCTCCTGAAGCACATACTAATAATCATGGTTGTTCATTTTAAAACAACATATATATATATATATATTATACACTGGAAATACTTACTGTGTAAGATTCAACTAATACTGTGGTTTCTAAGGCCAGTTTCTGCTCTTGCTCAATATTATACCCCACATAACACAATTTTTCTTTAATCATTCGAACCGTTTCAAAATCTGCAGAATGGTTGAAGGCGTACCCTCGCAACAGAAGAAGCTGATACAAAAAAAAAAAATAGGAGTAAATTCACAATTAATCTGAATGAGTTCAACTCTGTAAAAGCTCTTATTGCTCACTAAATAGGTCTCATCAATAACAAATGTAACAGAGAGTGAATCCTTAGCTCTTACTAAATATTTCAGAAACAGGGACATTACTTTGCCATAGAAGAATTTACATTTCAGTTTCACAGAGAAGCTTCATGGAGTAACAGAATCAAAAGTTCATGAATGGATAAAACAAATCTTTAAAACAAGCTAGTTTTTAAATAGAGTACTATTTGAGTACTAATATTTAGATAGCTTTAACAGTTAAAAATCTATTAATAAATATTATTTTTAGCTCAGCTGGTGTGGCTCAGTGGATTGAGTGTCATCCCATGGACTGAGAGGTCAAGGTCCTGCTCTGGTTCTGTCAAGACATGTGCCTGAGTTTCGGGTTCGATCCCTGATTGGGAGCTTGTAGGAGATGGCCCATCGATGTGTCTCTCTCACACTGATATTTCTATCTCTCTCTCCCTTCCTCTCTCTCTCTCTCTCTAAAAAAAAAAAAAAATCAATAAAAATATATTTATAAGTAAATATTATTTTAGTACTAAATTCCTATTATCTGCAATTTGCTCAATTAATGCCATATTCACGATATCCCTAGGTAATAGAACATTTTATCCCTAGCTTCTAGTATAATGTCTGACATGTATTCAATGGGCAATAGCATGTTAAACAAACAAACAAAGAATTCAACATGCTGGTAGGAAAAAAAAATCATAATATGCACATAAACACAACTGAACTTTGCATACAAAAACACTGAAAAATAGATCCCCTAGTCTTTGTGTTTATGTTCAGAACACGCTTGGAAATTCTTTTGGTGATTACCCTAAAATAGAACTTTGGCCTAGAATGAGTGTATTATAACAGTCATCAACTTAATCTCATTATTACTCTAAATTGAGATTAAAAGAACCCAATGTCAAGGTGAAGACTCAATTCCAGCCCACTTTGTTGCAGAGAACACCGTACAACCATTTCTTGTTGTTTTTTTTTTTCATCCTCACCCAAGGACATTTTTCCATTTTTTTGTTCAGATAGAGAGGGAGGAAGAGAGAGAGAGAGAGAGAGAGAGAGAGAGAGAGAAACATCAACGTGAAAGGGACACATCAAGTGGTTGCCACCCGCATGACCCAACCAGGGCCGGGGACAAACTGCAACCGAGGTATGTGCCTGTAGCAGGAACCAACCCTGGGTCTCTCTGGACCACAGGCAGATGCTCTAACCGCTGAGCCAAACTGGCCAGGGCTCCGTACAACCATTTCTTGACAGCAGCCCCAATGACATTTTGAACACTATAATTTTTTGTTGTGGGGGCTATTCATTATAGGATACCCTGTTCATTACAGGATGTTTAGAAGCATTCCTGCAGTTGTAATATGCAAAAAATATCTCCAGACATTGCAAAATGTTCCTGGAGGGCAACATTGTCCTTGGTTGAGAGCCACTAACCCAGAGAAAATATACTAACTGCAGAATCCTGGTACAGACAATACTCTAAACCATTCTAACATTAAAAAAATACTCATGCCTCTAAACAGTGGCCTTATATATTTTCTCCAGCAATGTTTTAAAGAAAAGTATAACTAATTAGCCAGAAGTAAACTTTAAAATAGTAAACACTGAAAACTGAATATATCCCATGAAAACTACTAAATATTAAAGTCAGGCACATTTGGGCTCTGTTTTTAATCAAATATCATTAATTTGGTATCAATGTATTTTGTGGGGAAAGATAAGAACAGTCAACCCAACCAAGATTATAGTTTCAATGTGTATCTTGTTCAAAGAGAGGTTTTATGGCAGAAAAGGTAGCCTAAGTTGTTCAAGGCAGTTGTAGGGTCTCTCCTATCTTTTAAGTACCTCTCTATCCTCCCCCCTTCCTTAGGAATAACAGGTATAACTATGTAATGAAATATATTCTCATTAGTATACCAGAGATCACATGTATAAATCTCATATGGATTTCTATATGAATAATGGGGTAATTGAGCCATTTTTCCAGTGATCCAGAAGATTTGCTAATCCTGTGATGATATATTCAACTTTGTGTTAAGTCAGTAAACACAAAATACAAAATCTAATTTCTATGACATTTTCTTTTGCTTACCTTAATAAGATATCTGGTGATATCTCTCCCAGCAATATCCAGTCTTCTGGTGAGGTGAGGGAGAGAAAAGCCTTCATAAACTGGGCAAATGTGAGTTACACCATCCCCAGAGTCTACCACTACTCCAGTCAATAAACCTGTGTAAGAACATGAGGTTTTAAATACAGTAGAGCCAAATGAGAAAAACCAAAGCCAACAAATTTCAAGTGTTAGTATATAAGCCAAACTAGAAACTACACCCATCACAATGATCTGAAGTCAGCATGTCTTTATTATTTGTTTATTTTGAAGTGTGTTCCTAATACAGACACTAAAGTCAGTATTCTCTCACATGTCTCTTGTGAGACATTTAGTCTAATCATGTGTTACTCCAAGAAATGAAAAGAAACAGACCCTGAGACCTAGAAATAAAAAACACATGTTCTTGCCCTGGCCGGTTTGGCTCAGCGGTTAGAGCATCGGCCTGCGGTCCGGAGAGACCCGGGTTCGGTTCCCGCTAAGGGCATGTACCTCGGTTGCAGTTTGTCCCCGGGCCCTGGTTGGTCGTGCGGGAGGCAGCCACTCGATGTGTCTCTTTCACGTCGATGTTTCTCTCTCTCTCTCTTCCTCTCTCTCCCTCCCACTCTATCTGTGCAAAAAATGGAAAAAAGTCCTCGGGTGAGGATAAAAACAAAACAAAAACAAAAAAAAACACATGTTCTTAATGCTCAGTGTAGCCTGGCCGGTGTGGCTCAGTGGATTGAGAGATTTCGGTTCAATTCCTGGTCAGGGCACAAGTCCAGGTTGTGGGCTCTGCCCCCAATAGGGGGCGTGCATGAGGCAGCCAGTCCATCCATGTGTCTCTCTCATATTGAGGTTTCTACCTCTTTCCCTTCCTCTCTAAAAACTCAATAAAAATATATTTTTTTAAATGCTCAGTGCAATTCTTTATTTTTCTTTCCAACTAATCTTGATCCCTGAATTCCCTTGAAGTAAAATTTTCTAAAGCATCTTGAATAATTTTTATAAAAAGCACTACGAAAGGTAAATACTAGACAAGCGGACAGTGAACCTGTTGAAACAATCCAGTTATTATTTTTGTCACACAGTATATTCAAAACTGTGTTTTGGAAAAATTCCTGTTGCTAATAGACAGCTAGAAATCTGAGAATAAGTAATCCTGACTAGCCAAAGGATCACCTCAATTATTCATCAAAAAACAGAAAGACAATGTCAATTAAACCTTATAATTAAAAAACAGCAAAGAAGCTGCCTTGTTTCCCTTTTCTGCTATTTAAAAATATAATTCATGCCCTGGCCGGTTTGGCTCAGCAGTTAGAGCGTTGGCCTGCGGTCCAGAGACCCGGGTTCAGTTCCCGCTAAGGGCACATACCTCGATTGCAGTTTGTCCCCGGCCCTGGTTGGTCGTGTGGGTGGCAGCCACTCGATGTGTCCCTTTCACGTCAATGTTTCTCTCTCTCTTCCTCTCTCTCCCTCCCATTCTATCTGAACAAAAAATGGAAAAGTGTCCTCGGGTGAGGATAAAAATATATATATATATATATATATATATATATATATAAAATTTATATATAAAAATATGTATTTTTATATATGTATTTTTTATATATATATAAAATTCGCTACAAAAGTTAGTGTTTTGCCTTTTGCACCAGGGTTAATTTTGATGGGAGGGGGAATCCCAACCTCCAAAAAACTATTTTCTAACTCTCATTTTATAATTATGTTAACAACAAAAAGATTTAACCAGAATATGCATGATCTATAACATGCTTAAGCATTCCTTTATCATTTTTCCATTCCTGGATAGGCTCGCTCCCTCTTTCTTTTTTTTTATCCTCACCTGAGGACATTTTTTCACTTTTTGTTCAGATACAGTGGGAGGAAGAGAGAAACATCAATGTGAAAGGGAAACATCGAGTGGTTGCCACCTGCACGACCCAAGCAGGGCCGGGAACAAACTGCAACCGAGGTACATGCCCTTAGTGGGAACCGAACCCAGGTCTCTCTGGACCATAGGCCAACGCTCTAACCGCTGAGGCAAACTGGCCAGGGGCCTTCTTTCTTAGTAATACAAACTTGCATGCCCTACAGTACTAATTGTAATTATTTGTCTTTGAATACATTTATTCAAACCACCTCCTTTTGAAGCTAACATAATTTGTCTTTCTTTGATTGATGCCGTAAGCTTCATGAAAATCATACACAGTCTTTTAATGTTGCATTCTTTTAAACAAGAAACCTTCCATTTTCAAAAAAAAAGAGGCATCCATATCAATAATAAAAAATACTCCCAGTCATATCAACTACAGCAGGTTTTTACATTTTTTTCCAAACCTTCCCATACCACCTCACCTTGTTTTCTACCACTCCCACCAGCTTACATACTGGTCTTTCCCTTTACACATTTGACCCATTTTTTCAGTGCCATACCCCTTTGTCAGTGGATTATCTGTTTTTTCCACTTCAATTTCTATGGGGTCTTTTTTTAAAATTTTTTTTTTTTATTGATTTTAGAGAGAGAGAAAGGGAGAGGGAGAGAGAAAGATAGAAACACCAATGAGAGAGAAACATCATCCATTGGCTGCATCCTGCACACCTTGTGCTGGGGATCAAGCTCAAACCCTGGCATGTGCCCTGACCAGGAATTGAACTGTCAACCTCTTGGTGTATGGGTTAATGCTCAATCACTGAGCCACACAGGCTGGGCCCTACAGGGTCTTTTGAGGTTCAATCCAGTACCTACGTTTTCATTTATAACTTCCCTGACCACTCTAATCTCCAGCCCAGATTCCCTAATCCCAGTTATTCCCCTCAATTCTGTCTGTGCCATGCAGTCAAACATACCTTCCTAAATCACCATGTCACCTTTCATATTCAAAAAACCTTCCTGCCCTACGTCAGTGTGGCTAAGCTGGTTGAGTGTTGACCCGTGCTCTGGGAGGTCCCCGGTTCAATTTCCGGTCAAGGCACATACCCAAGTTGCTGGCTCGATCCCTAGTGGGGGACAGGCAGGAGGCAGCCAATCAGAGTGTGAGTGTGAGTGTGTGTGTGTGTGTGTGTGTGTGTGTCTCCCCTTCTCCCTTCCTCTCTCTCTAAAACAAAAAAAAAGATAATAATAATGAAAAGATATTAAAAAACAAAAATAACCTTCATGGGCCATGGCCAGATAGCTCAGTTGGTTTAGGTGCACCAAGGTAGTGGATTTGACCCCCAATCAGGGCACACACAAGAATCAACCAGTGAATGCATAAATAAGTTTCTCTCGCTCTAAAAAATCAATTAAAAAAAAAATTTTAAAAACCTTCCATGGTTTTGAAGACTTCTTCCCACATTTAAAAAAATTTTTTTTTCTTTATTGATTTTAGAGAGAAAGGAAGGAAGAGGGAGAAAAAGAGAGAAACATGGATGAGAGAGAACATCAACTGGCTGCCTTCTGAATGCCCCCTGCTGGGGATCAGCCCACAACCTGGGCATGTGCCCTGACCAAGAATTGAACCAGCGACCTCTTGGTGCCTGGGCTGATGCTCAACCACTGAGCCACACCCCTGGGCCTGACATTTTATTTAACTAGCAGCACTAGCCATCTTGTTTAGGAGGAGAATTTTACTATGACTTCTTTTTATTAGTGTTACTAGATTATCATTTCCCAAATTAAGTATTCAACAGTTAAACTAAATACCAGAAATTAAGAGAGGATATCTTCTCAATGGATGGAAATTTATGAATATTGCTAGGAAAATCTGGTAAGGTCAATTTTATTCAAGCACAATTCAAACAAAAATTCATTTCAGCAGAAGTGTCTCATCTTCACCTCCTAAATGAAACTATTATCACCAGTTTCTAAGCTTATATTAAAAATTTATATCTATTTTTCCAAAGTACTTTCTAAAATAAATTCTGATTATCTAGATGCAGATAATCACTCCTTGTAAAGAAACAAGTAAATTTTGATTACTTCTTCAAAGGAAAAACTACTCATAGCTGGACTGTAATTGTTTTAAGGGCAAGCTTACTCACTGCCATATCCTCTACACAACAGAGTGTAAGGTACATACCACACTTAGTTCCCCTAAGTATTTTCTAAGTATCTATATGTAGTACTAAAGACAGCTTTAAAAAACCTGGTGATTTTTACTAATCCATGGGTAGAATCAGATTGCTCACCTTAAATACGTTTTCTAAGTACCATGTCATTCACACTGCTGCTTAGTACTATGGCTCGAGCCTTAGCTCAGGTGTCACCTCCTTCAGAAACCTTCTCTAATGTGCTGAATCAAAATTATCTGTTTCTGTATCTTTTTCCCAGATAGACCTGAGGTTATCTTTACATTTCAAGGGCCTAACAGACTCTGTGGCACTTACCTGACAGCCCCAAAATTCTCAATGAGACCAATGAAATATAAAGAGCTCTCCCCTACACGGCCAATATTTTATTCCCAATAGATAGGGAGGCAGTTAATAATGGCAGTCCCAAGAAAACACAGCAGCTCCCTCTATCAAATCTACACCTCAAAAGGTATGAAGGTATCCCCAAATGTCCACCTCTTTCGTTGTATTTACTATGTATCTGAAAAGCATGCTTTTATACTAATTTTTTTAGATCTGATTTTTTTGACTGCCAATTCTGAGAACAAATTCTATGTTCATTCCCCACTGCATAAAAAATGTTTACCTCAAAATAACCTAAAAGAGAAAACCTACTACTTTTTTTTTTAATCCTCACCAAAGGATATTTTTTCATGGATTTTTTTTATTTTTAGATAGAGTTGGGGTGAGGGAGGGAGGGGGAGAGAGAGAAACACTATGTGAGCGACACATTGATTGGTTGTCTCCTGCCCAACCCCAACCGGGACCAGGGATTAAACCCATGACTCTTTGGTCCTCGGGCCGACACTCTAACCACTGAGTAAAACCAGTCAGAGTGAAACCTACAACTTAAAAAAAAAAAAAGTTTCTATTGATTTTTTAGAGAGGAAGGAAAAGAAGATATAGAAACACTGATATGAGAGAGAAACATTAATCGGCTGCCTCCTGTACAGCCCCTACTGGGGATCGAGCCCAAAACCCAGGCATGTGCCCTGACCTAGGATCAATCTGGGACCTCTCAGTCCACAGGATGATGTTCAATCCACTGAGCCACACCAGCTGGGTAAAACCTACCTTTTTTAAAAATTGAGAAATCCTGTTTTACTTAGGAAATTAAAATGTATGTATTTTATTTGACAAATTTTAAGAACTGTGAAAATATTTAAATATTTTTAAATATCTGAATAAATATATAAGTACTGTGCTTTTCTGGGATTTATAATTTATTGAAAAATCAAATTCCTTTGACATAAAACATAATAAATGTTTACTAAATTGATTATTCTAAAAGTCAAGCTTCACCTACCTTGAGCATATAAAGTCAGAACTGCCTGGATGGCTACATACACACCAGAAAACTGGTAAGTTTCAAACATTACCTGAAAATGCAAAAGGAAAGAAAAAATTGGTATTTAGAAGTTCCATATTCTAATTATGTTTTTGGCCAAAATAGAATCAAGAGACCTAAAAGAGTCCTCCATTCTCTTTAGCTCTCAATTAACTTCTGCTGTCACAGAGCTCCAATTTTAGGGACAGATTGTTGGATATATCCTGAGTCCCCAAGCATTTCAAAAGGGCTACAAAGCAAAGATTTCTGAGTGTTTTAGTTAATAGCTAATTACAGTGAAAGAAGGCTTTCTGTATTTGAATAAGCCTTTCTTAATTGACATCCTTTAGGGAAGTATCTTTTAATTCAAAGACAAACTACCTCCAGCAGTTAAATAAAAAAGTGGTAGTAGCCCTGGCCAGTTTGGCTCAGAGGTTGGAGTGTCAGCCTGTGGACCAGAGAGTCCTGGATTCGGTTCCCGCTAGGGGCACGTACCAAAAAAAAAAGTGGTAGTAAAATAGTAGGGCAGGAAGATAAAAAATGAATGCAGCAATTCCTGAATCCTGGCAGATACAGAAGTGCCGAGCTGCTGCTGAGCGGGCCCTCCCTACTTGAGCCAAGGCCGTAGCTCCACTCTCAGCTGACCTACAAGGCAGGGAAAAGGAGTCTCCTAGTGTTCTCTCTAGTCGGATCCATGCTCATTCCCTGCAGTCCAGGTTGGCTGGAAACACTGTGCAGGATTTTTTCTGTCATCTATACTAAGCATTCCTTGACCAGCAGGGCTGACTACCACTCTGAATATCTAGATATTTAGAAATTTTACAACTGACCACAATCACAATTATACAGAATTCAAAATTTACAACTCTGAAACACATACTCATCAGTTAGCAACTAGATTGTCTAACTAGTACTCTATTCCATTATCCTTTTTTTTTTAATCCTCACCCGAGGAGATTTTTCCATTTTTTGTTCAGATAGAGTGGGAGGGAGAGAGAGGCGGGGGGGGGGGGGGAGGAGAGACACACACACACACATCAACATGAAAGGGACACATCAAGTGGCTGCCACCCGCACAACCAACCAGGGCTAGGGACAAACTGCAACCGAGTTACGTGCCCTTAGCGGGAACCAAACCCAGGTTTCTCTGGACCGCAGGCCAACACTCTAACCGCTGAGCCAAACCGGCCAGGGCCATCCATCATCCTTTTTTTAATCCTCACCTGAGAACATTTTTCCATTTATCTTCAGATAGAATGGGAGGGGGAGAGAGAGAGAGAGAAACATTGATGTGAGAGACACACTGACTAGCTGCCTCCAGCACAACCTCGATCAGGGCCGAGGACCAAACCTCAACCAAGGTACGTGCCCCTGACCGGAATCAAACCCGTGATTCTTTGGTCCACGGGCCAATGCTCTAACCACTGAGCAAAACCAGACAATGCTAATCCATCATCCTTTATTCCTCCTCCCCTCCACAGGGATGAAATGGAAGAGTTTGCATTTATCAACCTGAAAGTGTGTTAAAATTTATTTTTATTTATAAGACAATTAAAAAATATTTGTAGTACTAAAACAATATTCTGGATGAGATGAAGGTAGGGCATTATTAGTTATAGCCAAATTTGCACTCTCAAGTAAAAAAAAAAAAAAGGTATAAAATAAGGTGAAACCTTAGAGCACAGAGACTGCCCTGGCCGGTTTGGCTTAGTGCTTAGAGCACAGAGACCAATTGTCATTTTTGTACATTAAAAAATATATACATGTAACTTAGTCAATAATTAGTAAAAGGAACCCAGGTATAATATCATCTCCCTAACTTTTCATCTGAAAAAAATTTGATTCATTTCAGACATCACGTTGCTTTCCTAAATAGTTTTCTGTGTTTAAAAATCTTTTTGTTTAGCCCTGGCCAGTTTGGCTCAGCGGTTAGAGCGTTGGCCTGCGGTCCGGAGAGACCCAGGTTCGGTTCCCGCTAAGGGCACGTACTTCGGTTGCAGTTTGTCCCCGGCCCTGGTTGGTCGTGCGGGTGGCAGCCACTCGATGTGTCCCTTCACGTCGATGTTTCTCTCTCTCTCTCCCTTCCTCACTCTCCCTCCCACTCCATCTGTACAAAAAATAGAAAAATATCCTCGGGTGAGGATAAAAATCTTTTTGTTTAGCCCAGCTGGTATGGCTCAGTGGCTGAGTGTTGACCCATGCACCAAGAGGTCGTTGGTTCGATTCCCAGTCAGGGCACATGCCCAGATGTGGGCCCAATCCCCAGTGGGGGGCATGCAGGAGGCAGCCAATCAATGTTCCCTTTATCGATGTTTCAATGTTCTCTTTATCGATGTTTCTATCTCTCTCCCCCTCTCCCTTTCTCTCTCTAAAATCAATAAAGAAAAATAAACAAATAAATTAACCTTTTGGTTTAATGCAAAAATATCTCTACAATCTGATTCTGTAATGTGTTGCTAAAAATAAACAGCAATTACACAATCTTATCCATCACAAAGTGTTAGTGGTTGTAAATAATTCAGAAAGTGTAAAATAAAATTAAAATATGAACTAATACAGTAAAGCCCATCTTTCAGTTCTAGGGGTAGCTAGGAGGAAAAAAAAAGTAGTAAAATATGAAACATAAGGAATGATATGAATTCTGTACTAAAACCATGATCTCACATTTTTAAAACACTTAATACAAAAACTGAGTTTTAGTCCAGAATTTAAAAATACTAACAACAATTTCTTCTAAGCCCTTTCCAAAATTTCCATCAACATCTAAACATAGACATAGAATAATACAAAATATTTACATTAAGTAGTAACTGAAAGTTACTAAAATACAAAATTAAAAGTTTCTACCTCATATATAACAAAATGAAAGACAACCTTGAAAAGTTACTTATCTAAACTACACAGAATATAGACTTCTTATTCTCTATAACTGCTTACCTCAGTAACCTTTTCAATCTCCTTTCCACAGCTCCTCCCATCCCCCAGGTCCTTAGCCCTCTCACCACTGTCCACTCTCACTTCTTTGGTGAGCCATACTATATCCTGATGACTCCCAAGTTTACATCCTCAGCCTACACTTTTCTCTTGAACCTGATCTCTTATATAAAACAATCTACTTGACGTTTTAGCTTAGATATCTAATGACAACCTAACATGTCCAAACTGAACTCCTGATCTATCTCTACCCCACCCACAATCCTGTTCTACTTATCTCAGTCTTTTCCCACCAACTTGTGATGGTAACCTATCCTTCCAGTTGCTCAAGTCAAAGCCTTTGGAGTCATCCCGCTGGTGTGGTTCAGTGGTTGAGCGTTGTTCCATGCACCAAGAGGTCACCAGTTTGAATCCTGGTCAGAGTACAGGCCCAGGTTGCAGGTTAAATCCTGTAAGAGGCATGCAGGAGGCAGCCAATCAATGTTTCTCTGTCTCTCTCTCGCCTTCTTCTTCTCTCTCTAAAATCAATAAAAACATATCTAAAAAAAAAAAACCCTTTAGAGTCATCCCCTCTCTTACCCATATCTAATTCATCAGAAAATTCTTGGCCCTACCTTCAAAACAAATCCACAATCTGGCCACTTCTCATTTCTACTGTTATTACCCCTAATCCTAATAATAATTACCTTTTGCCTAGTTGAAAAAGTCTCCAAACTGGTCTCTCCCTGCCTCCTTATGATCTACTCTCAACACAACAGCCACAAAATCCTAAATCTGAGTATGTCCCTTCCCTGTAACAGCACTTCATTTTATTTGAAGTAAAAGTCTAATTTCCTATAAGAACCCACAAAGCCCTCCTAGATGATCTGGCCCCATTACTTCTTTGAACTCATCTTCTTTGCCTCTCCCATGCTGGCTTCCTTGCTGACTTTTTTTTTCTTTATTGATTTGAGAGAGAGGAAGGGAGAAGGAGAATGAGATATAAACATTGATAAGAGAACATCAATTGGTCGCCACCTACATGCCTCCCACTGGGGATTTGGCCCACAACCTGGGCATGTGCCATGGCCGGAAATCGAACTGGTGACCTCTTGGTGCATGGGTTGATGCTCAACCAGTGAGCCACACCTGCCGGGCCTTGCTAACTCTTTGATATGCTAGTTTAATATGCCAGGCTTACATTCAAGACCTTACTCTGGCTCCTCCTTTTGCCCGAAATGCTCTTCCTCATATATCCTTACTGTCTGTATTTAAATATCACCTCCTCACACAGGACCACTACCACACCCAATATACAAATGCAACCTTCCCCCACTCCCCATCTCCATTAATCTACTCTTTTTTCCTCTTTAGCATCTATTATCTTCTAACAAACCATTCATTCAATTAAATCACTACTAGCGGGGGAGGGTTGTTGTTTTTCCCTTCTAGAATGGAAGCTCCATGGTGGCAGGATTTTGTTTCATTTTCCAATATAGACTACTTAGAATAATGATTGGCATATAGTTAGGTACTCAGTAAACAGCATCTGGAGGAAAACTACAATTATTTTTATTCCTTTTATACTTAACAACAACAGTAAGAAAAAAGAAAGAACGTTTTCAAGAAATTAAAAAAAAAAAAAAGAAACACATACATGCACATCCTATTTAACAACTTACCTCTACAATCTTCTCTCTGTTTTTGGTTGGGTTCATAGGGGGTTCTGTGAGTAAGATTTTACAATTTCTGGTATCTATGTTAAGTTTCTCAGGTCCAAATGTATAGTCCCACAGGTGTTTCATGTCATCCCAATTTCGTACTATGCCATTTTCCATAGGGTAGTTAACTTCCAACATTGAGCGTAATTCACTTGCCTCATCACCAACCATAAGATCCTAGAAATTATAATATCAAAGCTTTAGACCAGTCAAATTTTGCATAAAATACCTTCAGAAAATTATTTTCCTATATTTTGATTAAATTTGTGGATAGTTAATTTTAATCTTTCTGGCACTTTCAGATCAAGTGTTTAAGTTAAAAATCTTTTCTTTCAAGAACAATGCCTTGCAAAGTTTAATACATTTTTATATATATACAATGTGGTTTAAATCAATAAATCAACCTTACCTTTAATACATATGTTTCCAAAAGAAGGGCATTAGCACAAATAAACCCCACATTTTCATATTTTGGAGGGTTTTGTATGAGGTTTCATCTGTTTCTTTTGCTCATATGTTCAAAAAATAAGGCCTGTGATATGTGAAATAGCACATCAGGGGGAAAAAAACTCGCAGAAAAATGCTCGATGCATGCAGCACATTTCTTTGTACAAAATGTCAAAATGATAAGTATTATAAAGCAGAATGGAAGAAGCAAAAAATAAAATGATTCTTTACCACACTACAATAATGCATATATGGTACCATATAACTTGTACATTTCACAAACTTCTACCTTCATGTCTGAATTAGAATTAATTTTCTTTATATGCCTCAAGAAGAATGAAAGAAATTTGTAGAGATATAAAAAATAAGACAGAAGGAAACAATTCTTTAAAATTATCTCATGAGCGACATTTTTTATCTTAAAGTGTAAGACTAGAAAACTATGACACATGAAGCAGAATACTCACAAGTCTTGTCTCCAGTGACAGCATACTTAAGATGACCCATATTTGAAAAGCCAAATTCTCCATATATAATAAAGCTAATGATGTCCTAGAACTTAAACTTATTTTAGAAATCAGCTAATAAAGATATTAAATAATCCTAATTTCTACAGGTACTGAGGCATTTTTTTAAAAACTAGCATCAGACATAGCAACTACTCACTACAATACCTTAAGTTTAAAACATGGGGAAAATAAAAGAAACAGCAAAGTTAACATAAGATGTCTTAAAACAGGTGTAACTTAAAATATGAGTTTACAATTTTAAAAGTAACAATTTTTTTTAAAAAGATCAGAGATAAAACAATGGTGAGGACTCTATTAAAAACAAAAAAGTTTCTGCAAAATCCACTGAAGCAACAACAAAAATGGGGGGTGGGGAGTTAAAGCAGAGACTAGAAATGTTCTCTAAAATTTGTGTTGCAACTAGTTTTTTATAAAAGTAATTTAACACAACTTAATATTCAAATTTCTTTAATATTAACTATTTAGAATCATCTGATAGGAAAATGCAAAACTAAAACTCTGTATTTGTGAACTCTACTTAATTACATGCATATGTTGAGTTATTTAGGAAGAAGTATACTTATAGTTTGAAATACATCAAAAAACAAGACAGGGGAGGAGGGAGTCAATGGGGGAACCCAAGGGGAGACATCTGTAATACATTCAACAATAAAGATATGTTAAAAAAATAAAACAAGACAGACTGATGGATGGATAGATGGATAAATATGTGATGTATCAGTACAGTAAATATTAATGTCAGAATATAAGTGATGGGTGTATGGCTTTTACTATAAAATTCTTTCAACTTTGCTGTATATTTTAAACACTTCTTAATAAAATGTTAAGGGAGATATCTATACCTGTAAGTGCATATATTACTTTTGGCCATTAAAAAATGCAATTTAATACACAATTGTTAATGTACTTTCCTTTAGAATATATCTTTCTTTGTGTTGTACAAGGTAATACATTAGATAATTAGATGGTTTACATAAATCAATATACATTCACAATTACATTTCAACAAATTTCATCAGAATATTAATTTTTATTCCATGCAAGAATAGGGGTTTAGTTGACCTGACCCAATGTCAACTAAAAATAAAAGCCTCATGTATCTACTTCTAGGACATACATACTCTAAAGGACTAACTGAAAGAAATGTCTGGCACTGAGTATCTTACCATGCTTCTGAATGAAGACGACATTTAAAATGGAAGAAAACAAGTTTTAACTTAAGTTTGCTCAAAATTTGAGTAGCTCAAGCTACCTAAATTTATCCATATGTAAAATTATAATTTAAAAATCCTAAAACATATAATGTTCCTTAGAACATTTCAACTCCCAAAAACCAAAAATGTTAAGAGCTTTATGAAGCTTGCCCTCATACCTCAGAACCAAGTTATAAGCGATCAAATCAGGCCTTAGATTTTTACCACCCAGTTCATCAATGGACCTCAAGCCTAAACCATCACTTATTACTTGAAAGAATGAAAAATTACAGTAACAGTTCTGAGATGCTGTTTCAAAAGCATTTATATATTATGAAAAGCAAGCAGTATAGATTACATTTGCCAAGAAACATTTGAAAAATGTCACTTCAAATCGAAAAATAGAGCAAACACACTTTAAAGCCATAATTAAGTTCCTAGAAGGACTTTCCCTAAAAAAACATTTGTGAAATTAAGTCTACACTGTTCTCTACAAGTACTCTCAAATTTCCTTAGGATTTTAGACAAAGACATGATCTTTTATTTAGGATAAATATAGAAATTTGTCCTTTTAAATGTTTTTGCTTATTCAAAAGAATACTTCACAAAGTTATTGCTACTAGTTAAAATAAATATCACTAGAAATGCCTGATACTCATCTTTGTCAAAGTTGCTTACATGTAATATTAAAAACAAACAAATTTGAAAATAACCTACTACAGAAGCATTTAGACTATCACAGAAAAATATAATGAAAGAGTAAATTGTCTGGGATACACCCAGTAAGCTTCTAGTCCAAAAGAAAAGGGTGCCACATTTACTTAGGGGGGAAATTCGTTGTTCACGGAAAAGTCTTATAAGACTTTCATCGTTTTCTTCTTTATCCTCAGATAATGTTGTAAAATCTGCTCATCAATAAGGATAGTATAGGAAATTTCCTCCCCTTTACTATCTATATTTCATTTGCATATTAAAGTTTTACTGTTTATTGAAAATATGTGATATTGTACTGGATACAAATATATATATACAGGCTATGTTCATTTTAACATTGGTCAATATAGTAAATTTATCCAAATGTAACAACTTCACCCTAATCTCTTGGATCACACATATCCTATGAAAAGCCATTTGGTTTCTATTATGCACACCACATTCCAATTTAATTAAAACATTCATCTATAAGAAACACAAAGAAAACAAGTCAAAGCTATGTTAGTAATCAGTTCTGGTTTGGTCCATTGTATGCAATCAGGAAAGTACAGGATCAAAGTACTTAAAATTAAAATATGGAAATACCCCCCTCCCCAACACTAAAGGGACACAAAACAACAACTACTGTCCCACCAAGCAAAAGTGGAAAACAAACAGAGAGCATGTGTGTAACCTCACTTACCATCTTTTTGTTATTCTACTTCAACAGGTCAAGAAAGGTGAAGAGAGAGAAGGTAGAAGTAAGAGTCAGAAAAGGCCTAAATAAAATCCTCACTGAAATTTTTAAACATACAAGCAATAGAGAAAAATTAGGTTGAGGTCAGATGCAGTACTACTATTATTTAACGGAGTTAATAAATAGGGCCAAATTAACATGGACAGTTATTACTCCTGAATGAAAATTAACTCATTAAACAATTTAAATTTCCAGTTATTTTTTAGTCTACCACCACATTTTAGCTAACAAGACACAAAAAGTATAAGTCAATCCACTAGACAGAGATATTTCAACAAGTCATTACTGAATTTAAAAACCTTAAGGAAAATAAATGATAACAGGAAAGATCTAGCTGGATAAGCAGAGGGTAAGTTTAGGGTTGTTTTTCCAAGCTCTAGCAATCAAGTTAAATTTGACAGGTCTCTGTTTTCTACCTGAAGAACAATTTAACTTGAAAGATTTAAGACTAAGCAGATTGAACAGAACTGAGCCAACAGAACACAGAATAACAAACGATACAAGCAATGCTTGGGAAATTCCTTTGTAAAAAAAACATCTCATTATTGACTAGTTTCATTCCTATCACTTGGCCTTAATAAGCAAGAAAGCGGGAATTAAAAGACATAATTATTTGTGCCTATGCTGAAGAATAAAAGTGGCTATATGTGATATATCTTAATACCTCAAAAATGTTAACATCCATAAGGTACATAAAAGAAGTGTTCTCCTTTAAAAGCCTGATACTAAATAAAAAGACTTTCAACTCCATTTAAAAAGTTTATCCTTATCACTATTAACTAAATTTTACGTCAAAGTTCATTTAAGATTGAATTCAACAAGAATGAAAATTCATAAAGAGAATAAGGAACTTCATAAATTTCTCAAAAGATCCTAAAATAAAAACACTCATATTGAGTGTCCCATTTGATTATCTGTAAAATAACAAGAGACCAGAATAATGCACTATTTTAAGTCTTTAAAAAATTAACAAAGAACCTAAGTTTCAATTTGTATTTTTATTCATTGCTAATTCAACTCTCTAATTCCAAGAGCAGAGAGCTACCAAGTAGCACATCTCTACCACCTATTACAACCTTCCTAGAAAGTTCAAACTAATGTCCCAAAGAGGTTCACATTCTATTTCAAATGACTCATAATCTAACAGTTCACTGAAGTCTTGCCAACGACTGTCCAGATAGGACCAATAATGCTAGCTTGTTCACAAATAATTCAGTTAAACAGCCCCTAAATTCTACTGCATTTTGTATAACCTGACCCCTAGGCCACCTGAAGAATTTAAGTCAATTGGCGACAACAGTCCTTTTGATTGATCTGTTTTTTTTCTCTTCTAAAATACTGTAACTCCCACTTGATTTCCAATCCTTTTAATATGAGAGAAAAATCTATCATCCTTCATGTTGAATCTCTAGTGTCAAGTGCAGTGAGTAGGCAGTGATAACCTTCCTTCTTCTCTCTTTCTGGTAAGATAAATAATGTAATGCCAAATAAAGGCTTGCACGATTCCTCCTGCACATTATGGAAATCAGTTATTACATTAGTGAAAGGAGGAAACAATAAGATTTATATCCTGTGTTTTCCTGACTAGCTGTATATAAAAAAGTAGGGGGATCAGGTCATGAGGACATGAAAAGAAAAAGTCTAAGGTCCCAAAGGAAGACTAACATATATAATGACAAATATATGGAATTGAAAAACATAAAAATGCCAGGCTGATTTCTTTTAAAAATAATAATTCACATTCATATAAAAATCTTAAATATTTTTCTCCATTCAGAGAGTAATGGCATCAAGCCATACTTAAAGTCAGATAAAATTAACTTGTTTTTGTGCCTTTCTTCAGGTTTTAATATAGATTAAAAATATAAGAAATTCTGCCCTCCCCCTTTGCTTTTCATGGCATCGTATTTTAAAACTACTTAATTCAAAGAATATCTCAAGGTTTTGAACCTCATTTATCAATAAATAAATAATTACCTTGATTTCAATGTTTCCCACTTTGGTGGTCGATCTGATAATAGGTCTTCCAACCAAAGCTGGGAAGATGTGTTCAGGAAAGTTGGAGCCTGCATATCCACACTTCACAAACTGGAAGAGAATAGTGAAAGTGGGTTAGTCAAAGCATTTACTATATCCATTTAAAAACAGTATCTGAAAAATACCACTTTTCATTTATACAATGTTTTAAACTTTTGGTGCTTTTAAATTATCCAAACTCATCACCCAATCTATCATATCTCATTTTATTTCCTTTATGGCACTGATGATTACTGGAGTTTATTTACCAGTAAACTGCTTATTTAGTGCCTAAGTCCTCCCACTAACAGGGAAAGCCTCAGGAGAGCAGGGAGCTCAGTTGAGCAGTTCATGTTAGATCCTGATGCCTCAAAGAGGTCCTGGCACACCGTGGTCATACAAGAAGTATTTGGGCCCTGACCGGTGTAGCTGAGTTGTTTGGGTGTCGTCCAATGCACTGAATGGTTGCCAGTTCGATTCCTGGTCAGGGCACATGTTTAGGTTGCAGGCTTGATCCCCAGTAGTAACCATGCAGGGCAGCTGATCAATGGTTCACTCTCATAACAGTGTTTCTCCCTCTCCCTCTCCCATTCTCCCTCTTTAAAAAAAAAAATTTTTTTTTAATCAATAAACTATTCTCTAAAAAAAGTATTTGAGGAATGGATAAATTAAGTCAACAAATACTAAGTATTTTAACAAGAGAAATGTTAGAAAATGAACAGAGCTAACGTTTTCATTCTAAAGCACACTTTCATTCATCTCTGTCAATTCCCTTAAGCAACCTCATTTTCTAAATGGGAAAGGTCAAATGGAGTCTGAACTAGCATCATGTTAAGCATTTATTAGGCATTCTGAACTATTTAGTTTTATATTTAGATAAATGTATTTAGTAGCACGAGGTAACCTAATTTCATGTTCAGATAGTGTACTTCTCCAATGAGGGCATATCATTGATTCTAATGATACTTTCATTTTATGCATAAGAAACTGATATACCAGGAGATTTAACAATTACAGTAGAACTGAAAATAGAACCAAAGGTTTTTAAAGTTGTATACCAATTGTATAGTCTGTTTAGTCTTATTTTTAAGAGCACACATTGCAAGAGAATGCAATTAAAAACTTCAGGGGGCAGGGAGGGATCACAGGGAGGCTGCTGAGAAATGTTTCAGCTTTAGCTGCTGCCTTTTGGCAGCACAGAAATATAAATTATTGTCTCTCAGCCCACCAGGGTGCCATCTTTTGACATACTGTCATCAATGCGTCTTGGTGCTGCGTGGTCCTGGTGGAAAGAGGAGAAAGTTCTGGAAACCTGGTACCCACCAGTGAAGTGATTTCTCTTCCCTGTAGGGCCTAAATTTGGGAACTTTTAGGTAACCTTTTCTGTGTACTGGCCTTCCCCACTCTAGAATTTGGGCCTTTGGTGTGTGTGGAGGAGCTCTGGGAGTGTTCAAGCCAGTTGCAATGGATGTTAGAAACAGGGATTTGAAGATGAGCTAGAGGTGAGTGGACTATGGCTTTGTTTTAATCTGCTTCTTTGGCATTTGGCATTACTGCCTCCTGTTTCTGGTGGAGAACACAGCTCCTTTGTCTTCGCTGCCTTCTGATGGAGAAGGTGAGGGACTCCCTGTCCCCACTGGGGCCATGCTGGGCTCTGCCCTGATCGGAACTGAGGCCTAAGCCCTGTAACTTGCTCTGAATACCAAGTATCAGAGCCAACATCTCCCTTAGTATTTTAAAATATGTTTGTATTGGTTTCAGAGAAGAAGGAAAAGGGAGATAGATAGAAACACTGATGAGAGAAAAACATTAATTGGCTGCCTCCTGCACGCTCGCTACTGGGGATCGAGCCTACTATATGGACATGTGTCTTGACTGGGAATAGAACCAATGACCTGAGCCACAGCAGCTGGGCTCCCTCTTTTTATTATTATTATTATAATTAGTAAGATCCTTGTAATAGAAATAAAGTTTGTACTTAGGAAAAAAACACTTCAGGGTGGAAGGAAGAAGCTGTATAAGAAAGGTAAGTAATCAGTCTCTACCCTCTCCCTTAAAAAGTCTTTATTCAATGCAAGCCACATTGTGCAAGGATTTTTTTTTTGTCTACTGATGACTCTCAAGTGCCTAGAACAGTGTCTGGCACACAGTAAGAGCACATTAAATAACTGATCCATAAATATTAAGTTTTGCTGATTTCAGTGTATGACACAAGATACTATTTTAATATAGAGAATATGGCCCTGGCTCGTTTGGCTCAGTGGTTAGAGCATCGACCTGTGGACCAAAGAGTAGTAGGTTCAATTCTGGTCAAGGGCATGTACCTTGGTTGCGGTTCAGTTCCCAGTGCTGGTCAGGGTTGTGCAGGAGGCAAACAATCGATGGGTCTCTCTCACATCAATGTTTCTCTCTGCCCCCCACTCCCACTTTATCTGACGATAAATGGAAAAGTATCCTCAGGTGAGGATTTAAAAAATATATATAGAGAGAATATGTTTTAACATTGAAAATAAGTCTAGTTCCATGGCACCATACATTCTCCCAGAAGAGTTGAGAAAAACAGGATCTGAATGTGACTGTGGCAGTAATAACACAAAGGTGGGCAGAAACTATTAACCTACTCCTTGACAGAGCCTACTACGTACAAGGAACTATTTTGTTTGATGGTGTTAAAACTTAGCAACAATATTAAACTCATCGACTTTTGACTAACCCTCTAAAATACAAACTTTAAAAAAAAATGTTTTTATTGATTTTTTAGAGAGGAAGGGAGAGATAGAAACATCAATGTGAGAAACGTACCAGCTGCTTCCTGCATGCCCCCTATTGGGAATCAAGCCTGCAATTGGCATGTGCCCTGACCAGGAATCGAACCAGGATCTCTCAGTCCATTGGACCACACTCGGTCCATTGAGCCACGTGGGCCCAGCTAAAATACAACCTTTTTATTTTGTTGATTACCCACATTAATTATCCATAGCCTAGAACATTCTGCTATTCAGAATTTCAAATATTTTATAAATAGGGCTTTTAAAGCTACTTTTATGAAAAGTCTGAAATTAGTAAATTTCATATTTCTAATATCACCTGAATTCTTATCCTCTCAGTTCACGATTAAATTTTAGAACCTACATAAAACATTCTGCTGATATATTTTCTTCCAAACCCACAAAACCTAGCCCTGGTCAAATTACTATTGAGTCATCAAGGCCAGGGCATTTTTCAGGTATAGCTACCCATTTCTAAAACTATAATACAATTCTTACTGGATTCCCTTTCAAGGCAGAGGTTAGTGTGATATAATGGTATATGCAATAACCTGCTTCCTCCTACCTCTCTCTCCATTTGAATAGCTGACAGTGAAGCATCCTAAGAGAGTGTTAACAGAATTCAGAAGCTCTAGCCCATTTTTCCAATGTCTTCTCAAAATATTTATCAATGTGATCCAGAAAGAGTTGCAGACACAAGTATCAGAGGAAAAGAATACTACCTAGTATTTTCTGTATACTCAAACTAAGAGAAAAAGAAATCTCTCACATTCTTTTCTTTTCTTTTTTTTTTAATCCTCACCCGAGGACATTTTTCAATATTTTGTTCAGATAGAGTGAGAGGGAGAGAGAGAGAGAAGCATCGATGTGAAAGCGACACATCGAGTGGTTGCCACCCACACGACCCAACCAGGGCTGGGGACAAACTGCAACCAAGGTACGTGCCCTTAGCGGGAACCGAACCCGGGTCTCTCCAGACCGCAGGCAGACGCTCTAACCGCTGAGCCAAACCAGCCAGGGCTCTCACATTCTTTTCTAAATCATAAACTCTCTTTTGTCCTTAAGTCAAAATCCAGCTCACCTGATATGAACTGAAATAATATGGAAGGATTGAGAATCTTTCTATTATCCTGGCCATACTGAAATTTCTACATAAATAAAAGCTGTCATGATCACCAGCCTAATATAACTGTTAGTCACAATTTACACATATATTTTAAATATAGAAAGTAAATACTATGGATATTAAGTACTTATGTTTATCTCAAAGTAATGAACAGATATAGACAATGGGGGGCAGGGGAGGGGGCAAGTGTCCATACTCCAGACTAAAAATACTCATTTATATGAATACGTTTTTAAGGAAAGTTATAAAATGAATGACTGAAAAAGGAATCATTAAGTCTGTAAGGGCCATTTTTAACATATTAAATGTAAACAAATGATTTAAGTGAGAAATCATAATAGAAGTTGAAAGTTGAAAGAAGAGCTTTGGATGGGGCAGAGTCAAGTCTTGGTGCAGGGAGGAGGCTGGGAAGGTTGACATGCTTCTCTCATTCTAAGCCTCACATTCAGAAACATGCAACATGGCAAATCTATAAACAATCACACCAGTCAATGTTTTCTTATTATAATTGTTCAGATGGGTAGTTCATATCTTAAAATTCTTGTTTGAGTATATTTCAAGGGACAAAATATTTGCCAAGTAGCTGAGGTGAGACAAAATTGGAGACCGCCCCCCCCCAACCTCCAACTACAAAAACAATTGTAAACTTACTACTATTCCTGTGCTTTACAAAAAAGAAAAATTTGGCTTTTAATTAAAATGAAAGCTACTACCTTTAAAGCTACTAGCTTTAAGAAGAATATTAATGAAATTATTCTGCTTAAGTAGTTTACTGGAAGCATTTGCTGACATAATAATCTAGTGCTAACATTCTCACAGGGTATAAGATAATTTGGTCAAATGGCAATAACTGCACTATTTCACATTATTTCAAATGTGAAAGCATTGATAGCTGTAATAACAAGAACAAAATTAAAATAATCTATTTCTCAGTAACATAAACTAACAGTCTGGCATTTCCTTTCTTGAAAAAACATATTTTTAAAAAATCTAAATCTAAACCATGATGTGATAAAATCCAAAGAAAAATATTCTTTTCTAAACTACTCTTGGTATCATTTAAACCTTGAAACTTCTCCCCTACTCCAATCGTTTTCAGACTTGGAGACTTGCCGGAGACTTGCCCTGGCCGGTCTAGTTCAGCGGTTAGAGCGTCGGCCCATGGACCAGAGAGACCCAAGTTTGGTTCCCCTAGGGGCACATACCTCGGTTGCAGTTTGTCCCCAGCCCCGGTTGGGGTTGTGTAGGTGACAGCCACTCAATGTGTATCTCTCACATCGATGTTTCTCTCTCTCTCTTCCTTCCTCTCTCCCTCCCGCTCTATCTGAAGATAAATGCAAAAGTGTCCTCAGGTGAAAATAAAAAAATAAAAATAAATTAAAAAAAGACTTGGAGACTTAGTTCTCTCATCATGTGCAATACGTCTGTGTTTAAGAAATAGCTTTTTACCATATATAGTTTCCTCTTCATAGCCCTGTGGTTTAAACTGGCTCCCTTACTTCCCACTGAGTCATCAAATGGTAAGAACATGAACAGTATAATGTTCTTGCAAGCAAAAATGAAAACAAAAGTTCCCCTATATTTGCTCTAAAATTATCTTTCTCCTCTCAAAAAATAAACAGATTTATAAAGCTTCACTTGAGCTTACTGTATTTATATTTTCCTTTATTAATTTTATCTAATGGTACTGATGTTATTAATTGCATAGTGATTTTCTTGATCTCACACAACCAAAATATTAATTCTATTTATTCCAAAGCTTTTTGCAGGGTAAAATCAAACCTGTTTTTTATTTATTTCTATTCCAAACATATCTGAATTCAATAAAATAGATTAACACAAGCTTGATAAAGCAGGCCATATGCAACTACAAATGTGAATTAGAAATAAAAATATAATTATCTCAGCATTATAAGCTACTTTGTATCTCTAGACCCTAAAAACTATCAGTCACATAATAGGCAGCTGTCTTCATTGTTGGTAGTAAACTAACTCACCATTGATGAAATCACCTACGTTTGGTAATAAAATACACAACACAAGAGGCCTGGGCAGAACTCTTGAAAGGCACCTAAACCTACACAGATATCTAGATTTTTGCCTATCTGGCCACTTTTAGTGGCTTTATTTTAGGTGGTAGGTTTGAACAGTTATGAGGATGAAACAAATACATTATTGGATTGGATTCATTTTTCTCCTCTAGGCTACCCTAATGATAAACTGGTCAGGGGCTAGTGAGGAAGAGGAACAAGGACCAACATCTGGCATGTGATCATAAGAACTCACCAACCCTTAGAGCATTCAACTTGGGCCTGCCAGAGAAGTTAAAAAAAAAAAAAAAAATCATCAACTTCTCAAATTGTCCATAACTAAAATTTTAAAACCTAAAACGTGTAAAAGGCAAGTTGCTTTAGGGTAACAACTATTCCCAAAGGTTTTTCAAAATTAAACTTCAATATCTTGTTTAATATTTAATTGTAAAGGAATCATTATACCTTCATGTAACTAAATAAAATAAAGATGACTATAAAACAGAATATAGAATGTAAGTGGTTCCTAATCCTCTAAATTTTCAGAAATATCACAGCATTCCTGACTACATATTATATCAAAACTGTTTCTTAATTTTAAGTGGATCATGTCTATAGAAAATATGAATAAAATTTAAACGTAAGAAACATAACACCAAATACATACATTTTTGCTTGAACCAGCTACACTTTTTCCTATATACATAATAGTAACTAATCTTTTGTCATAAGAACACGATTCCTAAATTATGAATTAGAATAAGACTAATCAATAATATACAATTAGCTTCCTAATGTACCTAAACTAATGAAATAGTAACATAAAAATGAGCTCATGGCCCTGGCCGGTGTGACACAGTTGGTTGGAGCATCGTCCCATACACCAAAATGTAGAGGGTTTGATTCCTGATCAAGGCACATACCCAGGATGCAGGTTTGAGACAACCAATCAATGTTTCTCTCTCTCCCATCCTCTCTCCAAAGTCAATTTCAAAAAAATATTATTTTTAGTGAGCTCAGGGTTAACATTCCTATTCTAATTGAATATCACAAAACTCATTACAAATATAGGGTTCATTACCCTTCAAAATAGAGAAATCCATTAAAATATAACTGGCTCAGCCTGGCCAGTGTGACTCCGTGGTTGAGCTTCGACCCATGCACCAAGAGGTCGCCAGTTTGATTCCCGGTCAGGACACATGCCCAGGTTGTGGGCCCAATACCCAGTGGGGGGCATGCATGAGGCAGCCAATCAATGTTCTCTCTCATTTCTAGCTCTCTCTCCCTCTCTCTCTAAAATCAATAAAGAAAAAAAATTATTTTAAAAAAAGAACACACACATTGCAGGGCCAGTATGGCTCAGTGGACTGAGTGTCATCCCACGACTGAGAAGTCCCGGATGGAGAAGGGTGGATTTCCCCGTCAGGGCATGTGCCAGGTTCCCCACTGGATCCCCAGTACGGTGTGAACAGTAGGCAGCCGAAAGATATTTCTCTCTCTCCTTTCCTCTCTTGCTGTAAATCAATAAAAAACATATTTAAAAAAAAGCCCAGCTGGTGTGGCTCAGGGGCTGAGCATTAAACAATGAACCAAGAGGTCACCAGTTCAATTCCAGGTCAGGGCACATGCCCAGGTTTTGGGCCCCATCCCCTGTGAGGGGCATGCAGAAGGCGGCCATCAATGTTTCTTGTCTATCCCTCTTCCCTTCTCTCTAAAATAAATAAATAAATAAAAAATAACAAAGGAACACACATACATAAATGGGACTATTTTTTTAACTTAACAATAAATCTTAGATATCTTTCCATAGCAATGGATCTGCCTCTTTTTTTGTAAGTATTCCATTTTGTATGGATGTCCCATTACATGTTAACACACCCTTTTTACTTGAGCCTATTTTTGGCTAAATTCCCATAAAGCTAGTATAATTATTGCTAGTAAAAGTCTGAACAAATCTCATCAAGGGAAGTATTATGGCAGTGAGTATTAGGTCTTTCCTCCTCAACAATCCAGTTTGTAAAGTGTTTTAAAGTTCAAGTGAAATATTTTTTAATTCATATGTCACATTTATGGAAGGATGGGGGAGAAAAGTCACAAAATATGCAACTCTAAAATGGTTAGACATCACTGTAATGTTGGAGAAAATTATCACTATGGAACTCATCCAAAATAAGTAATATTTGTCTTTTAATTTGCTAACTTGGCGGCCCCAAATACATTTGGGGGGGGGGGCGTTTGAAAGAAACAGCTTTCAAATAACTTCTAAATCAGTGTTTCACTCAGATTTTTACAATTATTTGCATTTTAGAATCTTAAAGAAGAACATTATCTGTAGTTTGTAACTAAGGAAAAAACGGGGGGAGACGCGAAAACTGATTACCTTCCCCCAAGGTCAGTTGCATTTACACTTAGACCCCTTGAGGGGTCCTAGATGTCCCAAAATCATTCAATGGAACATGGTCTCTACGGAGCCACCCATGGGCCAAATTCTTGGCATGGAGAACAAAAAGTAAATTATGCACTGCCGATCTGGCCAACACTTCCTTCAAACAAAAAAAACCCTCAAAACTGCTAAAGGGCTGCGAGTTGCATTGACAGCACTTCCTTTTTTTTTTTCTTTAACCCGTTTCCTGACCCCGTTCGGTATCTATACAGGAAGAGGAAGGCCTCCGGTCTTTCCCCTTTTTACACACTGGCGACCCCGGGGAACGAAGCCCTTCTGGAACGCACAAACCTAGTCTTTTTTATCCCTCCGACCCTGTGGCCAAATTGCCCCGGCTGGAGCGCGGAGCCGGCCCCTGCAGGGCAGCAGGCACAACCCCGTGCAGTGCCGGCCTCGCCCGCCTCCCCGACCCGAAGGGCTGTGGGGGTGGCAGGCTCTGCGAGACCAGGGCCCTCGCTCCCCACGCCCACGGAGCAGGAAGGACTGCCGCGCGCCCCTTGGCCTCGACGGCCCGAGGGCCCAGGGGTGCAGCCCAGGGCCCGCGCGTCCCGCGCACCTCCCTGCCCGGACCCGTCGCCACCGCGGCCTCCCCGTCCGGAGCATACCCCGGTGCCGTTGTCGCACACCACCACCTTCCTGCCCTGGCTGTCCATCGTCCGCCCGGAAGAAAGCTTCTGCTGCCGCCGAACAACCTACAGCCACCACCTACAGCAGCCGCCGCCCGGCTCTCTGCTCTTCCTCCTCCTGCCTTCCCGCAGCCCCTCCTTGGGTTCCACTCCCTTCCCTTTACCGGAAGTCACCACTCAGCCCAGCCCCGCCCCGCCCCGCCCGTCATTTAACTGACAGCCTGCGCGGAAAATGTGGAGCCGGAAGAGGGGAGGCCGAGACTAACAGCGGTCAGGTCCAATAAGAAACGGAGAAGCGCCGAGACCCCTCCCTCAGCTCCGGCTCCTGTTCCACCCTCACGGTTACCGCCCACCCGAGTGACGCTAGCGGTGTCTGGTTTCCGGCGCTTAACCGAGCTTTTATGGCAGCAGACCTGGTGGGCGCTGCCGCCTTCTCCTTAAGGCGTCGTGGAAGTGTAGGGCGCCGCTTACCCTTCTGCAGAAGGCTCAGGCAGGACACTGGGTCTGTCTCCAGATGGCAGTGGAATGTGGCGAAGGCAGCCGGGGTGGGGAGCAAATTTGGAGGTCCTTTCCCTGTCTCACCATTGAACATGGTTTCGTGTGCCCTTCTGGGCCTTTTCAGTGGACAGCCGGAATGGACACACACACACGTGTTTGAAATCATGCGTTTCTACAGAAACCTCCAGTTCCAGCCCAATCCTTCTTTGCCCAAATTGCCCTTAGTCAAATGAGAGCCTCATCTCACACCACCAGCCTCATTTCACACCATTTTCTTCCAAGGGCACTGCCTTGTATCATACCTCTTCGATATATGCACCTATTTGAACCCAGAGCCTCGGCTTTGAAATCAGACAACCCCGGTTTCAAATCTGGTGCTGCTACTCAAGAGTTTTCTGATTTAAGCATACCCTAGTCTGTGCATGGGGATAAACTCTTATTTCTATGTGCTGTAAGGATAAAATGATGTGCACAGAGGAAGCATCCATTTAGTGGTAGCAATTGTCAACCGGACTCACAAAGGGTCAAGAGGCTTTGGCTAGAAATAAAGGACAAAGATTTACTCAAGGGTCTTAGGGTTTGAAAACTGAAAACACAGCTAGTTAATATCCAGAGTGTTCCAAAGGAGAAAGAAAAGCTGAGAGTTCTTAAAAAAAACCTTCTAGAGAGGAATTAGTCCTGCATCCTTAGCTGCTGGATTTGTCCAAGATGGTAATCTTCCAATTATCTAGTGGTCTGGAAAAAAGAGCATTCTTTTCTGAGTTGTTCAGATGGTTATCTATGAAATTAATGTACATCCAGGCATCGACATACCACTGAAAAGTTTAAAAATGTAAGTCCCCAGCCTAGGTAAGGCAAGAATAGAATAATTTAACCATGCCTTAGCCTACTTGATTTTAATAATTTAGCAGTTTGACCACAGTGACTCCATTTTATTTCTTTATTCCTCACTATTTATTAGTTCTATACTTTTAAATGTGCTCTCTACCTGTAATGCCCCTATCTTTTTCTTTTGGATTACTTATTTTTACTTTTTAAGAAATAATACCTGTTGTTTTTTTCTGATTATACAAACAATACATGAGAATGGTAGAAAATATGAAGAATCATCTATTCACTACACTAGTGAAAATGCAGCATAACCCCTTGATTATGCAAATTCAGATGAACTTAAGATATATATTTGGTGACTGCTTCCTGCCTCTATACAGAGTGCATTACAGTCATTTCATTTTTCTCTAAATAGTGTGGCCCCACATTTTAGGTGGTTGAATTTTTTTTTTTTTTTTCAAATACAAGAAAACGTTTATTTAGAAAGTCGCAGAGGTAAATGAAGTGAGCCAGCTGGGCTGTGTGGGCTCAGGAAATAAGTTAGAGGCAAAATAAGGGCCCTTTGAGCTTAGAAGTATGAAGGGCAAAGAAAATGCACCAGGGGAAAATGATGGGGGAAAGGCGCTGGCATGTTTCAGAGAGAGAAAGAGCAATCTTTAAGTGGTTGAATTTTTTTGGAGGCTTCATTTCTAGACTTCTGATGAGATTTTATGTATATTATTCCACGCAAAAACCTAATCAGTTAAATATCCCCATTTTACACATGGGGCAATGGGGGTTTTAAAAAATTAAGTCTAGTCGGGTCAGTGTGGCTCAGTGGTTGTGCATCAACCCATGCATCAAGAGGTCACTGGTTTGATTCCCAGTCAGGGCACATGCCCAGGTTGTGGGCCAGATCTCCAGAGAGGGGCATGCAGAGAACAATCAATGTTCTCTCTCATCATGTGTCTGTCTCTCTCTCCCTCTTCCTTCCTTTCTCTCTAAAATCAATAAAGGAAAATCATTTTTTTAAAAAAATGAAAGAAAGAAATTGACAAGTTTGATCATAAAATGTAAATGGCAATACAAAGGAACTGAAATAGCCAAAACAATTTTGAAAAAGCAAAGCAAAGGTGACAGGCTTCTACTACCTGATTTCAAAACTTATTTTGAAGCTATAGTATTGAAGACAGTGTGGTATGCAATGGAGTACTATGCAGCTGTAAGAAAGAAAGATCTCTTATCCTTTGAGATGACATGGAGGGACCTGGAAAGTATTATCCTAAGCGAAACAAGCCAAACAAAGAAGGACAAGTATCATATGATCTCACTTATTTGTGGAATATAATGAACATAACAGTCTGAAGAACAGGTTAGTTTCAGAGATGTGGAAGTAGGGTACAGACTGATAATCCCCAGAAGAGGGGGGTGGAGGAGAGATAAACCACAAAACTTATATGCATGTATGCATGACCAATGGACATGGACAACAAAGCTGGGGACAGAGTTGGGAGGGAGGAGGAGGAGGGCGTCAATGGGGGAAAAAGGAGAAACGTCTGTGAAAAAAATTAATTAATTAACATAAATAAATAAATAAATAAATAAATAAAAATAATACAACTCAAAAAAAAAAAAGTGTGGTATGGGCATAAGGACAGACTTATAGATCAATGGAATGGAATAGCCCAGAAATAAATCCTTACATTTATGGCCAATTGACTTTCAACAAATGTGCTAAAACAATTCAATGGGGAAAGGGTAACCTTTTAAACAAATAGTGCTGGGACAATTGGATACCATGTGTGGGGGAAAAGAATCACTCTGATCCTAACCTCACACCATACACAAAAATTAATTAAAATGTAAAAGAGCTAAAAATCTATATATTCTGGAAGAAAGCAGGATAAAAATCTTTGATGTTAAGCAAAGACTGCTTAGAAATGACATCAAAATCATGATATATAAAGGGGAAAATGGTAAGTTGGACTTAATAGAAATTTAAAACATTTTTTTTAATCCTCACCTGAGGACATTTTTCCATTGCATTCTAGACAGAATAGAAGGGAGAGAGGGAGAGTCACCGATTGGTTGCCTCCCACACGACCCCCCACTGGGGCCAGGGATCAAATCTGCAACCCATGTATGTGCCCTTGATCAGGAATCGAACCCATGACACCTCAGTCCACAGGCCCACAGGCCGAAGCTCCAACCACTGAATCAAACCGGCCAGGGTAAAATTTAAAACTTTTAATTATGTGTTAAGAAAACAAAAGACAAGTCACAGAGTAGGAGAAATATGTTTGCAAACCAGATATCCAACAAAGGACTTGTAACTAGAATACATTAAGAACACATAATAATAAAACAAATTGTCTAAATTAAAAGTGAGCAGAATATTTGAATGTATATTTTACCAAAGAAGATTTATGAATGGCTAATGAGCACAGGAAAAGATGCTCAACATCATTAATCATTAGGGAAATTCAAATTAAAATCGTAACAAGATACCACTTAATACTCATTAGAATGGCTATAGTAAAAAATAAAAACAAAAAAACAAAATAACACATGTTGGTGAAGATGTGGAGAAACTGGAACCCTCATACATTGATGATGGGAATGTATAGTGACAGAGCCACTTTAGAAAACAGTGTGGGCCCTGGACGATTTTGCTCAGAGGTTAGAGCTTCGGCCTGCGGTCCAGAGAGACCCGGGTTCGGTTTCCGCTAAGGGCATGTACCTCGGTTGCAGTTTGTCCCCGGCCCTGGTTGGGTCGTGCGGGTGGCAACCACTCGATGTGTCCCTTTCACGTTGATGTTTCTCTCTCTCTCTCTCCCTCCCACTCTATCAGAACAAAATATGGAAAAATGTCCTCGGGTGAAGATTTAAAAAAAAAAGAAAACAGTGTGGTAGTTTTTTTTTTTAAGTTAAACATAAAATTATCATACCCAGCATTCCACTCCTAGGTGTATACCCAAGAGAAATGGAAACATATATCCACAGACTTGTATGCAAATGTTCATAGGAGCCTTACTTGTAATAGATGAAAAGTGGAAACAATGCAAATGTCCAGCAGTCTGTGAATGAGTAAACCACGTAGTATACCTATGTAATGAAATAGTATTTGGCAATAAAAAAGAAACAATACACGATATAACATAGATGATGCTAAAAACATTCCAGATACAAAAGACTACATATTGTATGGTTTCATTTATATGAAATTTCTAGAAATAGCAAATATATAAATTCAGAAAACAGATCAGTGATTGTTGGAGTTGGGAGCCAGGCTTGACTGCAAATAGGCATAAGAGAACTTTATGGGGTGACATTCTAAAACTAGATTTTTGTGATGGTGGCACAACTATATAAATTTACTTTAAAAATCATCAAACTACCTTTGAGATATGTATATTACACCTTGTAACGTCAACAAATTTGTTTTGAAGAATTAAGTTACCTGCCCAAATTTACATGTTATGTATCAGAACTAGGATTAGGCATAAATGTTCGTAACTCTAAAGCCCAAATTCTGTTTACTCAGGATTTTTGGAAATTTCAGAAAACCCAAAACCCCAGTTAGTGTTTCAGTTGGGATGACTCCTGGAGGAATGCTAGCATTCCACTTGGGCCTGATTTAGCTTCTGTGCTTGTATGGAAAGTAATCAGTATGTTTAATGATTGTGGAGTAATACAGTGACTTTTATTTTTTATTTTTTCCTTTATTGATTTTAGAGAGAGAAGGAAAGTGAGAGGGAGAGAGAGATAGAAACATCGGTGAGAGAGAACATGGACTGGCTGCCTCCTGCACGCTCCCCACCAGGGATCTGGCATGTGTCCCGACT